ATTTCAATAAGCGGGAGATAAATCGCTTGGCGTTCAGCTTAGTATCACCCCAAACCTCGCACTGGAACATTACTCATGGTGTGCAAGGGGATCCATAAGGGATCCATGATACCTTCTGGGAGCTGTTACTCCCGGCACAAGACCAATGCGAGTTTGTCCGAAGTTGTGGGGGTTTTGGAGCGCACGTAAGGTGGCCCGTTAGGAGACCAGGTTTGGCCACCATTCAGAGTGCCCGAGCTCCCAGTTGTACGAGCGCAGTACCGGTAGCTGAGACCTCGGGTTCTGGATTACTGTTTCACCTGTTTGTTTTTTTTCTCGCGGTATCTCTGGCCCTACGTTCCAGTCCCCAGACACCCCTACTTGACCACCACTCTACACTAGGGAGCCCATGCCCCCTCAGGCGCTCTGGAATATTACCGTGCACCCGCATGGTTACAGCATCTCCCTATGAGCAGGTGGTCGAATCCTCCTGCGATCCTGTGTGCCAAGGACGGGGAGCCCCGGGGGCACTCTTATTGCCAACCTCCCCCGGAATAGGTTGCCCCATAGAGAGCCCGCAGAATTTGATGGGTCCATTGGTAAGTCAGGAAAACCGTCAGAGGCGATGGTATAATACTGCGAAGAAGCTGGCACGCGATCGATCAATAAATCGGTTCCCCCCTCTGACCCCTGCGTGGCCGAATAACACACCGATGCTCAGGATGAGGAAGCATCGGAGATCAGGCAATATCAGTAATGAACATACCCCCCCGCTTCCTCAACAGCGTCAGGTAGAGCGACAATTCTCATCCGGACGATGCAGCGCTCGTGGGGCCCTTCCAGGAATAATCTATTTACGGTAGTCATGCTACACGTGTCGTTGACCCCGATTCAAAGTTGTGGAGAATCATTATTCAGCCAGTCTTCCCAATCATAGGTGAGCATCTAACCACAGCCCCCTGGACCTAGAAAACCACCAGCAATACCATATTTCAGTTGAGACTAACCACCCACAAAAACTTAACAGCGAATAAACCAGGAAGCACTCACGCAACCTCCACCATAGGGCGATCCCTCATTGATACAGACACACCTTCTCCCCACTTCCGCGTCAAAAGGGAAAAAAAAAGAAATCACTGCCTAAGGCTGAAGGATGCACTCTTCAAGTACGAGCAGTCTTACTGGTGCGCAACCTTATTTGTCGCCAAAACCTTCCACAAACTTTAAAATCCTTTCCATTCATTTCCGCCAACCTGAACTGTGGGCCCCGTCGAATCAGTCTGGTGAAGAAAATGACTCTAATTATATTTCCCCAGCCACTCTCGCGAGAGCCGGAGAGTGCGTCTTACTTACTGCCTGGCGTCGCCCCGCGAATTCATTGAGGTTCCACGGTCATTGCGATAGCTAGCGGCATCCTAGCCGCCCAGGGGGGCGGTGCAACGCATATAATCAGGGGGGGAACGCCTCGCGACCGTTGCAACGGTTCCACGAACACCAAATGGGTGTGGGGTTAATAAGACATTGCCCGCCATTGTGCCGCAAAGGTTGAGGCGCTGTTCTGCCGAAGCGGGCGGGCTGCGGAGGGTTGCGGTCACGATCGGGACGAGTGAGGCCCGATGACGCGGTCATACTGCTTTCACCCCTCCGCATCCCCGCCTGTTTCTTGAACAGAATTCCGAGTATCCCAGACTACTAGAGATTTGTGATTCGCTTTCGAGCTTAGCGTGGGTGTGTTTCCGGTCGAGGGACTCTTTCTCTCCTGCTTTTGGCAGTTCGGTCGGGCGCGCTTCGGATAACTTGAGATTTCAAAAAATGCCAGCATATCCCCGAACGATCGTTGGGCAGCATATATCCCTCCCATGAATTGTTTGATGGCGTTAACATGAGCATGTTATTCCATCCAACTCATCATAATCTATCTATAAGAAACAGAAAACCCTCAACCTATGCCATGGATGGACAGCGAACGCCAACCCAAACCTTCTAGCGGTAACCGACAGACAACCTTCCATCCAAACATTCGACAACAAGGCACTCACTCGCACCCCAGTAATGCCACTCTCCTCCAGCACGCACCCGAAGGCCCAATACAAAACCCGACCAGGGTTAGGGCTACCAGTTGGCACCACCATCAGCCTGAGGTTCTGGAGATTTAGATCTCGGTAATCTGCCTACCCAAAAAAAGATCGGCCTTAACGAAACTGCTCGTACAAGAGCGGATCGGACAATCCAAACTAGTACGAGATGGATGTCGGCGAACATCGGAAAGCCGCTCTGAAGCGCCGGAAAATTTTCTGTTGGCTAGAGAGCAAATCCGAAATTTTCTTTCTTTACACCGAATACGTCATTTGCGGTCGAATCCTGATGGTTGGCGTGAGATGTCACCTGCCGGCTTCAAGAGTTTCCGGGGGTCCCCGGAATGCGCCGGTAGCAGTGTACGGTACAGTACCACGATTTCGACCGATGAAATACGGTACTCGAGTATCTAGGCAATTGGAAATTCGCGTTAAGACCCCGGCACGGCTTGCCAGCGATAGAATATTCTAGAATGTAGTAAAGTGGAGCTGCTTAGATGTCTATCTTTTTGGATGGGAGCGAGTCTCCGGTGGCCTGTTGGCTGTCAGCGCTCAGGAACGTCACTTTTACCCCATCCAGTCAATGGCCGTCAGCGAACCCGAACAAGTTGTTCCGGATCATGTTTGCTGTCACTCATTTCTCCCCTCTGCTTATGCTGGGGAACCGCCGTTTGTCTAAAAAGTCTAATATCGTACGGTGTTCCCGAACAGAACGAACCCTGTTCTAGTTAGAGTAAGGGTCCGGGAAGGGCGACTCCTCCAGCCAAAGAGAAAATCCCGGACGGAGGCCCGTTTCAAGTCAAGTCATACCGGGAAAGTGAGAATATGGGAATGGGCCCGAGCGCCCAAAGGAAACAGTGCTGGCGGGGAAGATGGTCGTCTTCGGGATTTTTTCTCTCCTCCTCCTCCTTGTCTTTGATTGTTGAACGGGCGAAATGAACGAGAACACGTCTGCCGTTGCGGGGTGAGAAAGACGGCGAACCAGCAAACCGCCTCCATGAGAGCTCCTGTCGCGTTGTCGGATGGAGGAGGAGATAGAGTGGAGTGCTAGCACTAAATAGGAAGGGTTCGAGAATTGCCACGTTGGACACGTGAAGAGGTAGACGTGGCTTTTGAGAGGTTTACCCTTGTGCCGCCGCCGGGAACGAGGGAATTTTCTGGAGAGGGTTCTGGAAGGAAGGGAACTTTGTCTGGGTGTTTCCGCGAGAACTCGAGAAACCTTGAGGGGTCCGCGATGGAGGAGAAGTTTCTTGTTATAGTTCCCAGGTTACAATCATCATGAAATTTCGTCACCTGCTGCCTGACAAAGGAAAATCATCTCCTCTTAAAGCGCCTCACGATCCGCCCAAGAGAGGCGCAATCCCGCGCCACGGGCCAATCACCAACGTCATTCAGCAGCTGAATCATGACTCGAAGGAACCCGGGTGCTCCCCACCATCAGTCCTTTTGGCCTTGTCCCACCCACTCATTCCACCCCATAAGCAGAAGAACCCACCCACACGGACACGGACACGGGCGGACACACCTTCTTCCACATTACAGTACCGTCCTACTGTAAGTGTGTACTGTACCACACCCCTTCCACCGTGCACATACCTCCCCCCCCCTGCGGACCACACCATCCCTCCTCCTCCACCAAACGATTTTTAAACCAAACGGGCAGGGTAGGGGTGGATGGTGGATGGTGGATGGTGGCAATTACTCACCCCTGATTACGGATACTTAAACCAGAGTTCCCCCCTCCTCATCGCCCACCACCATCACAACACGAAAAGAGGGAAGATAGAAATAACACAGGAGCCGCTGCCGCTTATCCACCGCTCCACCTATCAACCCCAAAGAAAAGGGATCAGAAAACAAACACCATCCGAGCACGGACCAGATACACGGAAATCCACCCTCCATCTTCTCCTCCAAACACCATACAAATAAGTTGACTTGAGACGAACACAAAATGTTCGAAAACTTCTCCTTTACAAAATCGCCTCCATCGCCCTTCTACCACCGACCCGCAACCCCCCCGTTGAGCCCCTACGACCCCCCACCGCCAAAATCCCTCTCGGCGCACCTGACCATGCTATCCATAACACCCCCACCACCACAAGCTCTCCTCCCCCCATCTCCACCGCACAGCACAATCTCCTCGCCAACGACCCCGAGCGCGGACACGCAGCCATGTGTACGCTTCCAGCGGCAAATACTAGCACGATTGCAGACGTCGGACGCACAGATGCGCTGTCTGGAAAGACTGGTCAGCGAAGTCGTGTCCCGGGGCGGGAGCTTTGGGGGTTCGGGCGATGGGACGGACGGGGGAAAAGTTGGAAGGGGCGGGCGGAGGATGTCCCTACCCAGCAGCGCGGGGGTGCTTACTGCGAAAAAGAAGTCTGGGAAGGGGAGTATCGGTGAGAAGGGCTGTGGCGGAGGGGCCGGAGTGCCGGGGAAGAGGAAGGGTGCCGTTGGTGGGGTGGGGAAGAAGCGGGCCAGGAAGAGCTTTAGGAGGGGGAGTGGGGGGGAGTCGGAGTAGCTCCCTCTCCATTTCTCCATTTCCTCTCGTCTCGCTTTCCTTCTTGGTATCTCAGCATGGACATGATAAATAGGCGGGCGCTTCTTTATGTTACTTTACTCTGCATTCCATTCTGATCTTTTTTTCCCTCATATTATTACCACCATCACCACAACTACATTCTCGGAACGGGGTTTCCTATTGTTTTTCCTCTTTTTCCTTCTTCTCTCTTTTCCTCCCTTCACTCTGCATTTATTCCGATTTATCGCATCTTATACATTGCGTGCGGGGGCTGCGGGAGGGGGTGTTACTTGGGGCGTTTTGCTTTTTCTCTTTTTCTTTTCACTTCTCTCTTTCCGTTTATCTTCGCTCGGCTTTTACTTTTGCTACTGTTTTTAAGGTAGGGAGTTTTTAGAGGGTTGGATGGGATGGGAGTCATTTTTGCTCTTTTTTTCTATCTTTTCTTACATCTCGGAAATAAAAATGAAGTCGAATAAGTTTGAAATGTCAAAATACCGGTATCGAATTGAACCACAGCACAATACGATTGTACTTTTTTTTTTTTTCCTTCCCCCTTTCATCCCCCAGCCATTCGTACATGTAGATATCACTGCTACCGATAAAGACAAAATTCAAATCCAACTTCGACTCAAAGCCAAAGCGAAGAGGGAGAAAGCTCCTTCCCTTTCCCACTCGCATCCACCCATCCACCCGGCGTCCGAAACCGAAAAGAAAAGTCAAGGAAGGGCCGGTCGATCCCAAACTCAAGACAGGACTTCCCTCCTTCCATCCTTCCCCGCAGCAATAACAAGTTCCCACAAAGTCGGCACACAGGGGGGCGGGATAAAAGGAAAAATAGCTGGATCCTAAGAAGCCAGTCCGGCGATCTTTTGCCGGGGGGGAGTACGATATGATAGAATAAGCTATGATACGATAGTACGAGTACCGGTACCCACATCGGCAGTGACAAACTGCCGTGGACGAAAACCGCCCCACTTTTCTCTGGACCAACACAGTAGAGCACAGCACTGGTGCTGCACCGGTACGGTAGAATAGCTCGTAGAGCACCGTATCGCCCTGGACGGTATTGTGCCAGGGAGTATAAGCTGCAGCCTCAAACATCAAGCGACGGCAGTTATCGCGAAGAGCACGATGCGGTAGGTAGGTACGGCGGTTTCTACTTGTAGATCTTGCTCGTTTATCGAGTAGACTTCCTGATATGGGGCTTGTGTCACGTTGGGAACATAGGTGAATGCAGGTGAAGGTTATTCTCTCCGAGCATGGCTTGCATAACACCTCCCCGCCCCTTTTTTTTTCCTTCCTTCCTCCTCCTTTGTACCCCCTTCCCCACCGCAAGGGTATTGAAATTCATGTTATGTCCGATTGAGCTGCGGTTTTTTTCTTTTTTTTAAAAAAAAAAAAAAAAAAACTTACTCGTCCGCCCTTTCCTGCTCTTCAACTCGGGTACGGCATTCAGGGGGTGGGTGGGAGTGAATTGTGAACACGGTCAAATCGGATCGACGGTGAATGAATAACATTTGCCGATGGGGAGACGAGGTCAAACGTGGAGTGCTCAGGGTGTGATTTGCACGCTGTCTTGTGCCCTATCTTTTTTTCTTTTCTCTTCTCGTCTCTTCATCTTACGCCACTGAGGCTATCGACGAGAAGGCTGCGAATACGAGCCTTGAGGCTTTATTCATCGGTAGCGCATCGTCGCAGCCGTTCCGACGATCCATTCGCGAATTCCGATCTGCAAGTGGCGAAGGCGGGGTTTGGGACGGACCGGCGGGTAGGGAGGCTCGGATGTAATACCGAATCTACAGAGCCCACATTGATCAGCTGAGGTTTTCGCCGCTGGTGAAATTGGAGTGTCTATCATTGCTAGACCTCTTGTACACGCAGCGCAGACCGCGAATCTGGTATACATAAATACTGGGAACTCCACGAGCACGTTGGTTCTTGTGGAGTCCGAAGTGATGGCGGCAGGGCTCTATTTTGGGTTTTCCTTCATTTAACCTACCCGGTAAGGTAAATTTAATTGGGTGAGTGCTCGACCGTGACAGATTCCCCGGAACGCTCTAGGCGCAACAGGGCGTTGCACCCTGCCCATGTGGCCAACCGGTGCTATAACACGATGCACTGTGGGATCAGGCTCTAGCCTGACGATATCCGGACATCTCCGGCAACATATCAGCAGGCGGCGCGATACAGATGTGGGATGTCAGATTGCCGACTAGGGCTAATAATGGCGGAGAGAGAACCTTACTTATTTGCAGTACTCACTCACTTCACTTTGATCACCATGCACCCCATCTCGCAAGGCTCGCCTGAGGACTACCACTCTCACACTCGACCCGCTCGCCTTGCCCTGGGCTAGACCGGGTCATTCCAACTCCCCAAAGCCCGCGCAGGCGTCTGGAGTATCCAACCCAGAAACCCTCAGAACCGGATCGAGGTACTCCACCCTATTCCTCTCCCACCTGGGCCTACCACTACCAACAAACCTTTCCCGCACAGTCATAAATCATCACTCGCCGCCACAGCCTGCCCCCATAGCGCCTGAGACCCCCGCGGTCGTCATTCGCCTTTGAGCGCGCATGCTAGGCTAGGCGGAGGAATGGAGTGGACGCCCAGAAGAAGCGTGCGTTAGGCACCGCAGCACGGATGGAGATCTACGGATTTAGATGAGGTGGGTGGGTAGTAATTCGGTTCTGCGAGATGAGGTTTGTGGTCAGGCTGCCACAGGATCGTCAGGTGGGGCTGGCTTGCCGGGACGAGGTTAGAGCTCTCAAATGGTATTCCGTGTCTGCCGATACAGGGGGTGGGGTAATTGGGATTGGATTGTTAGGTGCCTCGTAATACTTTGACGTTTGGGATGGGGGCGAGGCGGGCTGGAAGTTTTGGAGAGGGATGTGGCAGGGATAGGAAATCTAGCGGCGATACGATAGGGGCAGAGAAGGGGGGAAAGGGGGAGGGGTGGAAGCGAGTCGATGATTGGTGTTACTGCTTTGGTTGAAGGTACTGAATTGTGTAATGCAGGAGAAAGTGTGACAATTATCACCACCCTATCAAGCCATACTGCGGTTATCCTCATCACCCTTCCCTTATGACCTGTCGCTGCTAGTAAGGCCACATATTGCACACATCTTGGATCTGGTCAGTGTTGAGAGCTCTCCTGAACCATACATTCCTCAAGCTATACCAAGCGCGCTCCGCCCAAGATCACAATGCCCGCCCTCAGAACAATTATCAGCTACGCACATGGACATGATCTCACTCGTGTCCACCTCCACCTGCACATCTCGCAATCGCGGTTGGTGGCGTCAATCCGCCACCTACCCCCCCACCCACAAACTCCCACGAATTACACACATTAACTCAGAGACCCACTAGCGCCGAGCGGCCGGCGTTCATCAAGCTTGGTCCAGACATAGTGAGCCCAACCCCCTTGATCTCCCAGAGCCCACTTGCTGCCGGAAACCCCCCAAGATGCTCAGCTCCGATATTACCCTCCTCGTCGCCACTTCTATGGCTGCTAACACCGCCAGGGCATCAAAAAAAAAACCCCCCCTGGAACACCACCCAACATCTCATTATCCACATAGCATCAAGCCACATTTTTCATTTTATTTTGTTATTATTATCTCTAACCTTCTAACCTTCTTGTACACTAACTAGCTAATCAGCTACCTGCAAGTAGCTAAGCCGATAGGCGATATATAGACAACTCTTCCAAATCTGGAGTTTTTGGATAAACAGATTTTACATGTAGGATAGTATTCTGGAAGGCTTGACGTGTTCAGATTGACGTGTCCAAGCGTTCAGCGCACAGAGCGTAGTTGGTGATTTGTCTGTTGCTCTCAAGTCACCGGCTAATCAGGTTCCCGGTCCGGATCTGGAAGGGGGATTGAATCCTTCCTTGTGCGGTTCAGCCCAATCTGGGAAGGTGAAGCGGAGGCAGAGGGGTCTTTGTCGGTGAATGAGAGGGAGTTCCCTCTAGAGCCATGGTGGGGTGCTGCACTGTTGGCGGTTGGATTGAATACTTACGGGGAGGAATACAAGGTGGTTTTTTCGATGACAACTGGTCTTCTCGAACCTACAGACGTCCGTTGTCGTATTGGGATGGTCTAGATGCCATGATTTAGTTTAATAAAAGAAGAAAAAACCATGAAGACTAAAGTCAAATATTTTTCAGGTCAAATCCTTGAATTGCGTAAGGTACAATACATGTACGGTATATGACTATAAACAGTAAAAGATCGTGAACAGCGATGTGGAGAAGGAACACCATTGAAGTTTCCAGTTGCTGGGAATCTTTCCTAGGAAATTTCCCATGAGACTCTTGCAGGGGGGAGGGTGCTACCGCCCCTTGAATGGAAAATTCGGACAATTGTCTTAGCGGACAGGGAATCAGCAAAAAACAACATCTATCAATATTGATACCTCCTCTGTGGACCCGAAGAGTTCCTTCTCCTTCCCTCGTAGCCGTAATCGCGGTCCAAGTCAGATACTCTGCTGAGGTAGTCTAATATAATAGTCTGTCTATCTCATGTGGCTAGCGTAAACCACATTAATCGATACCGCGCTCATCAAAAAGCGTCACCACACTTTCCGTCCTCCCTTTCTACCCCTCACTCAGGGGGGAAAAAAAAAATCCTTAAAAAAGTAGATCCAGATTGCTCAGTAGTGAGTAAACTCCTCGAATATAAATTACTACTGTACTATACCACAACGTCCCCCCACAGTAATTCTCAACGCACCCGTGTTTGGTGAATTACTACTATGATACTGATCTGCACTGTGCGAGGGATGAAGAATTCTTTTCTCCAAAATTGACAAAACTGATGCAGCAAAAACCTCCAAGGCAACGCGAAACGTCAGTCTTCTATCGTCCCCTTCGTTTTAAACAGCCATAGCCAGTTCCTTAGTTGCATGTGTCCCACACTTTAGCTCATAAATACCCCTCCCTGCCCGTGAGTATTATGTACGCCCGGAAACAGCCCATCCATAACCCCCGTCCTTTCGTTACCATGTGAAAGTGCACGGAGCCCTGCTGCGAGGGCGAATGTACAGCACTCTGGGGGCTTGATGCTTTCCCGGGCACTAGTTTGGTCCAGGAACCAGGGAGGAATGGAGATTCAGTCTAGGATCTTTGGCAGTTGACGTTCCTTGTAGGATGGGTTCCGGATTTCGCTAATTGTGTCTGCGATGTACGCTGGGTTGATGGACTACACGAGCGGATATCGCTTGACTGCATTCCCGGGGGCGCTACCGTCCCTACCCTATATAAAAGTAACATAGTGCCTGCGGTTTTGAAATCCTGCGTGAAGAGCTAGGGGCAGAGTGGTCATGAATTATCACTCACAGTTTGTGCGATTGTGTGCCTAGGAAAGTGAAAAAAGTTTGATTTTCTGTGATACTGCATGCGCAGGAGTTGGTCCGCACCCTTGAGCCGGGGAATATACGATAGGAAGGGGACGGAAGAAGGGGAGAGCTGAAAGAATGACGGTGTCGGCGTCACATGAAAACCTAGGAGCTTGTTCCTTGCGGGCTTACGTATACCCCGAGCCGAGCCGACTCGGGCTCATCTAGATTTTTGTATGAGACGTATTGGAGCTAAGCTCGAGATTTTGCAAACGATTGTACTTTTCTCTTCAAATCGGTAAGGAAAAGGAGGGAAGACACTGGTATCTCTGGGATTACCTTGTATGTGGGGGAGGAATTAGTAGGCAAGGGAGAAAGAAATTTAATAATTCTGAATTTTCCCATGCCGGGAAGCACTTTGCGCATACCTTTCCTGACCTGACTTGGAGTAGGGGTTCCTAGTACAGTTTCCCACTTTACTCCCAAATCTAGCTGGACTCATGAGGTTGAGGATCGGGGAGCAGGTTAGATGGAAATGGGGAATCCTTAGCGGTTGAAATCAATCGGAATTTCCAGAAACATACAGCGCTAGATTGATTTACGTACGTTAAGGGGGTCAGCGAAGTTGAAAACTAATATGTTCAGAGCAGAATTTGGAGATTTGTCTTCACATATTTAAATTTGGAACATATCCTCCGTCCAGGTTGGAATGAGCTTGTTGGTATCATTCTTGTATATGTGATGGTTGGAATTGATATGGGAATGCTGTCGATGTGGGAGGTAGAATTTGGGGAATGTTTATTAGCATTCATGGCAGGAATTGGGAAAACAGGAACAGGAATGGGATGATGGATTCTTTGCAATCCGGAAGGCTGTGCTGGACTAGGAAACTTGTATTTATTGCCTATTATAGCTGTCGCTCTAGGCTATAGTGAATTGAGTTGATATAAAGGTTCACATTCTGATTTTCACCCAGAGTTTAGCGAGTGATACTATGTGACCACTAACACAACCAGGCTCGAGCACTGCATTAAATCTTGAACAGGATCGTGAGGAACACTGACCTCGGAAGGAAAGAAAAAAACAGGAACCCGGAGGAGAGGAAAGGATGAAACCCCTCGGAAGGAGAGAAACCCTCGGGAGAATGACAAATTGTGAGAAAGGGGCGTACTATAGTTGAATATGGCACAGCTACAAAGCTGTAAGACTGGCGGAGGAGATGTGAGGAAAGTCGAGTGTAGTCTAACCACAAAACCGAGGTGGAAGAAAACTCAAGTCATGTCGGGGAGATGTCCTTTCGGGAGGTTAGATACGCAGCTCAGGCTTCGAACTTCGCCGAGTCTCACTACTCAAGTAAGGTTCATTGCATGTTACCATGCCACTGTACTCAAGTGCCACCATATCTACTCAAATAAAGCTTGGTTAAGCGCTGTGCACTGTGCCCCGAGGGCTCCTATGCGTTTCCGCTTTCCCGATATACTCCCGAGACAACTTTAGTAGAGTATGACACTGGTTGAAAAAGCCTAGTATACTCTGCGGACAAACTCTAGATCCAACAGCTTGAAAATCTGGCGGCGTACAATGTCCTAGTGGTGAGAATCTAAGTAACGGAGGATGTGTACCAGTAGGGCAGACAAATATTGCTGCAAAAGAGGCAAAGTAAAGTTATTACGAGTGTGCAAGTACTCGTAAATATCCAAAACCATGGGGAAAAGAAGAAGAAGAAAAGGCAACAAAATCCCGGCACTCCACAACCCTTCGCATACATGATTCACATCGTTAGGTATAGTAAGTAGTCCCCACGGTCCCCTCTCCTCGATGCTTCTAATTCGCCAAAATTCACAGAGCCCCACGGACTCCCATAGTCCCTCGCCGATCCCCTCAGCACACTAGAGATCCTCATGGATCCTGACCGATCCCTACAGCCCTCGAGAGAAAGTCTGCAGTCCTCTACAATCGTCCGCGGCCCTGGCACTTGGCCTGCAAAATATTGTCTCACCTTGAGGGGCCGTCCTCATAAGCCACTGCACTAGACGGACTGTCAATCACGTACCGTAATGACTCGAATAATTGGCACTCGCGCTAAGACGTTCAAAATCCCCTCTCCCGGATAGGGGGTCAAAACACTGCGAAAACCGAGCCCCTGGGCCCCAGCTTAAGACAGAAATATGCCCGACCGTGCCAGTAAAGGCAAGTCCAACGTCCTAGAACGAGTACCAATTATTCGAGTTCTTACAGTACTGTACCCGTACGATACGGTACCTGTAGTGGCATTGTCCGGTCCAGTGCCTTCAGCTGTCCCTATGTGGGGCCGCCAGGGCCTCCAGACCGTTGCTGCAAGTAACACTGATAACGCCTCACGCAAGGAGAAACTCACCACGCACGAGATTGCCGAACTTTGGGGTCAAGTGATCCCTCCGAGGCCCTCACCGAAGGAGCACAATCTGGTGCGAAATCGGTCCATCAGCACATTTAGGTGAGACAAGCTTAATAAAGCAGACTGCTCGGACAACAAAATCGGGGAACATCACGGCACATAGAGGCCATGCCGCTGTCGACGCCATGTTTGACCATTTAAATGGCCGGGAGAAGGCGCGACGCCTCCACCCCCGAGAAAATCTATGGCTCGGACCCTCTGCGGGTATTGTAAACTAGTGAGTTAGTGAGTTACCCTTACCGTCCGCGGAAACTCCTTGGCTAACTCTCCTGGGGCTGATGACAAGCATCTTATCATAGCCATGAATGCTCACACCGGCATTGCCTCGTTACGGCACAAAATTGGCATCAAGAACTCCTACGGTGCGACCCACCCACGGAGTTCATCAAATGAAAGTTATTTGGATAGTGGGAAATTGGTTTGTTTAGCTCATTACCGTCGTTGCTTTCTCTTATCTACTCATCGTTGGTCTGTATATCTTGCTCCTCCCGGTAAATACTTCACCAAGAGACGAGCGGGACAAAGTACCAGTTTGAAATTCCAGTAATTCATTACCAATTGAGCAAGGATACTTTCCAGACCTCACTATCTCCCTAAGGATGATACCATATGTTGGACTCAACAGACGACGGACTACCGTAGGGGATAGAATTATAGATACCCTAGCTCTTCCTGAGAAGAAGGCACATTCACAAATTTGAACCTCGAGTTCCCCACTCGGTTCATCCATCCAACCTGCTTGCTCAATCTTTGCAGCAGATATACCAGTAAGCAGAGCCGAAATCACGAAACATCACTCATCCCGGGCGGTATCCTCCCACGCCCCTCCAGACCACCCCGAAAGCCACGGTCTCACCCAGCACTACTCGTACAGTAGAGCCCGCTGTCGGGCCAAAATTTGGCTGTCCGGAGATATCACAGTCCTTGATGTACTCGTACTCGTACTACTATGATAGAGGCCGTCTGGTCCCGCTCATAACTCTCAACAGCCCCCGCCAGGCGGTGGTGGACCCCCCCCTACCAGTTTGGAACTGTTGAAATGGTTGAAATTGCGAGAACTAATACACAGTTTAAGTCTTCTCATTGATTGGCATACCTGCTTTAACGGCAGGCAGCGGGCTGTCAGCCCCGGATATCCGGTTATTCCGCAGGGTACACAAGCCTCCCTCCATCGAATTGATCATTCCGTGAGCAGTGTACTGTATGAAGGATGGTTCAATGGATAGCGCGTACGAGTACTCGAGTGCGGAGGATTGGTGTTTCCGGGGCTTAGGGATGGAAGGGGTTGGCTGCCGCTGCTCTAGCATGCCGGGAATTTCCGTGATGTGCTAAGATGAGGTTAGAGTGCCGCGTGCCCACTAAGTTGGAAGGCATCTGGGCCTGGATCCGTGTAAATCACAGCTTGCGAGTGGTCAGGGACGAAGATGAGGAACCAGGGCGGGAGGATAGCGGTCCGCCGCTACTCGCAAACTCTAGTGAACACTATATACTAGTACATACGAACGGTTTGTTGATGGAAAAAAGGGCGGTGGAAAACCCCCCCACGGCCTCCAAGGGCTCGTCCTAAAACTGGCAGGTTTCTCTTTTTTTGTCTCTTTGATTAGCCACTAGATTTCTTCTATGACACCACTCACTTTTTCCCCCGTCTTTAGGCAGCGCACTGAAAGGATATAGTTTACCTTTGTAGTTCTATCAGGCCTCAGCGAAGTCCATATTTCCCCATTCACTGGCCCTCGATATGAAATCCAGTGCTATAGGTATTGGCAATCCGATATGCGGGGAGCATTATGAGGCAGACACCCGTTACAGCATACGGTACGCACCCCCTGCATGCCTAGGACGACTCAATACTTCGCTGATTAGCCCTCCCAACACTCCCCAAGCGACTCGTCGGAGGTACGGTGGTTTTTGGGGGGTAGCGGGGAACCGGAGCGGAGACTGCCAACTTACATCCCACTCGACAAACATCGATACGGAACCTCTCATTGCCCGTAGAACAATATCCTTCCCCGCACATTCCCAAATGCGCAATAATCCCCACACTATCGGCAGCCGTAGCCTACGCCAAAGAGAAACCCCGCCACATGAAGGCCCCCCCCCAAGCGAGCGTTTATAACCGTTGTTTGAACCTATTGGCTTTTGCGGAAATATAGAGTGCACTGATGTCTCCAATGTGACGGGAGTAAAAGCAAACGGAGCCTGGGTAGAAGATTGACGAATTGGCTCAATTATTGGAGCAAATCTAAGGAAAGTACTCGGACCATGTGTCGTGAAAGAATAACTTACTCCTATCCGAGGATCCAAGGCGCCCACGCTTGGCGGAAGTATTTCCTAAGTAGGCTCTAGACGAACGATGTTACAACACATCCGCCGAGATTAGTCTTGTGCCGAGGGTGTAGAACATCAAGTCGGGGGGCGGAACCTGGTTAACTTACAGGAGTCTCCATATGGCTTCACACCGCTTTGAGACGTATGGAGCATCATCATCCACCGGTATCTAGTCGAGTGATGATTGATGGCGCTTCCCAAAAACCCGTTGGAACCCTAACCCCAACCAACCCCAAGCCGCGTGTTTTTCCCGGCTCTCGGGCAAGCGTTTCACCCCACCAAGTCCCCGACCAAGTACAATACTCACCATCACCGCCTCCCAGGATCCCACCAACCCCCCAATTCCCACGAGCGGCACGGTGAAATGAAGGTGGCTCACCCAGTAAACCCCCTCAACAGCGTCTACCTCCAACTGATACCGCCCCCGCGAAACATCGCCGAATCCCAACTGGTCTATAAAGCGCTAGAAAACTTTGGAAAAATAGACATGTTCCGGATAGTCCGAGTATTCCCCCCCCCCCACTGTCCTCTCTTTCTTTCCCTAGTATCGCAGGTCTCACGCACATTATTAGCACGACATAACGACCAAAATGCCCGCGCCCCGCGCACACGTACTCTTCTCGTCCACAAACGCCGGCTCCTCACTACTATCCGCATCGCCGCTTGAGATCCCCGGCACCAGGGTTACGGTCCGAGCGTTGGAGAGTAGATTCCCGCACGCGGGGTACATACGGACCGAGAGTTGTACCCACGCCATACGCTCCTCCAACCTGCTGGGTAAAAGGGCATTCGTTATGGGCTCGGCCGAGGTGGAGAAGGAGAGCGGAGGGCTAGAGGAGGATACGGGGGGTTCTTTTGGGGGTGTTGAGGGTGGGGCAGATATAATCTCGAGGCTGAGAAAGAGGTTTACCGGAGGGTTCAAGGGGTTCGATTTCGTTGAGAAGGGGAATCCCAAGAGCGCGCTGGGGGAGGGGGCGAAGGGGAAGGGAAGCATGGAAGAGGAGAAAGTGTGGGAGATGCAGAGCGAAGAAAATAGCAATATCGGAAAGCCTTGATCCCGATATCACGACATGATAGATCGTCGGCCACGTGAGGTTTCCGTCTACGTTATCGCCACTATCAGTCCACGATATCTACTTCCGATTCAGCTCAGGCGGCACTCACGATGAGGCTTGTCACCACCATAATTGCTATTAAACCCCAATCATAAGGGCACCCCTGTTTTCTTCCGCACCGGGTAGTCCAGATTGGCCCAGGTGCCTGATTCCGGTACATTTCAATAAGATATCGCCCCTATCCAAAGTAAATTCCCCTGGGGTGCCGGCGACGGCTATGTTCCATCATGCTTAGTCAGCTCGGTTGGCTGACGACGATATGATTGACTACACTATCGTAACCCATTACCGACACCCCCTCAATTATATTCAAGGGTGAAAATAAGGGCCCCGGAGAGTTCAATTGCGCCCCAGTGAAATGCACAAAAAGTGTCCCTGAGAGTCCGGAATCGTAATGTGCTGGTGCCGCATCTCCAAAGCCTTGATTACCGTTGTAGACCACCGTATACCATACCGTACCTCGGTGCCAAGACTTCGGGGAATAGCGTTTGATCTCCAGTGTTTACTCGAGTATGATACCGTCGTATGATATCGCACAGCACAGGACCCACCGCAGCCTGCAACTCTGCTTACAGTAAACCCGTTGCACACCTTGTCCCACAATTCCTTTATCCGGAGCCAAGCTTCAAGCCTGCAACGCGAAAGAAAGAACCCCTCCACAAAAAAGCACGCGAGCCAGAAAACAAAATTCTCCATCTTCCCACCAGCACCAATGTTGGTGGACCAGAGCCAAGAATCAATCTAGCATCACTGAAACCCTGCTGGATCCACTACGAGTACGGTACTCGGGTACCATATCGTCGCCTTTCCCTCCTTCAACGGCTTCAGGGAGAAACCCTGTTGCGGGATAGTTATCCGGAAGTGGCTAGGCACGTGCCACACCGTGGTGGCTAGCCAATTAGGCTGTCACAAGCAAGGGAGCGTTTCTTGATTTCTGCGAGGCCCGAATGCTCAAGCGTGATTGAACGAGGCTTGTTTTTCTTTTTTTCAAGCTGTTTGGAGGGCGGATCGGGTCAGGTGCGGTAGTACTGCGTGCGTGTGTATGATGTAAACCTTTCGACTCCTCCCTTCGCTCGCACTGGAGGTACTCGTAGCATACGCGTGTGGTTATCGTCGAGGGGAGGAGGGAGGGAGGAGGAGGGGAATGATACTCGGTATAAGAATGAGGGGACGGCGTTCTCTCCAACTATCATACCACATCCAACCCGCCGAACATAACTTGACCCTTTTTTACATTTCCGAATCACCAATCAAAGAAGAAAATAAGAAGAAAAGCAGCAATGGCAGGAGGCATGTTAAAGAGCTGCACCTGGCTAATACGCCTAATGCAACTCATCTTCGCCATAATCCTCGTGGGAGCCATCTCCTACATGATTGACCAGTACCGCCACTATGGCTGGAACGTTCCAAAGGATCTCATAGTTCCCGAAGTCTTTGTACGCCCCCCCCCTCCCCTCCCCCCCATCCCTTACTAACATGATCCCTCCCAGTCGGTCCTAGCCATAATAATATCCGGCCTCTCGATGATCTCCATCTTCTTCCTCGGCTACTCCCTACAACTCGTAGCGGCGCTCCTGGACGTTGCCATGTTCGCGGGGTACCTTGCCAGCTCCATCCTGCTAAGAGACAACTACTTCCGCCGCAGCTGGATGAACCCGCTCTGGAATGAGCTTGTCTGGATGAGAGCCACTAACCAAGATTCCCGGCACGAACGCAGGAACACTGGGCTTGTGAAATTGTTGGTTGCGTTCGTTGTTATTCAAGTGTGAGTTAGTTCCTTTTCTGCATTGTCCTTGCGAGGGAGTGGATGCTAATGGGTGTTATATATCGGTGGTGGGTAGGGTTTTGTTCTTCACTACGACAATCCTGAGTATTTTGGTGGCGAGAAAGATGGAAAAGGAGAAGAGGCTGGATGAGAGGAAGCGGGGGGAGCATGTTAACGTTTGAGGGGGGGGATGATGTACCGATGAAGGTGATTTCTGATAACGAACGGATGGCGATGGGTATATGGCATGGATCGGATTGAATTGGATTGGAATCGGAATTCGGTCGTTTACCCTAGTTGGTTGTTGATTTGTTGATACCGGCTATGCAGTAACGATTCATGCAGTATTATAAACTATCGCTTGTGATACGACGGTTTCGCTCTTCATTCATTCTGTCTGCCTGATCTTGATGCTGGAGGTGGGGCAGATCTCCGATGCCTTGGTGAAGAGTGCAGCGGGGCAGAGCATGGCGAGGCATGGATAAGTTAGGCCTGGTCCTTTGACTTGTGACGACGACACCGGAAGAGGAAGCCTGTCCATCGTTCAGCGGAAATTACACCTTCCACCGCTAGCTCTGGAGGCCGGAGGGCAACCTCCCCTCACCGACTATCAATCACTTGTATCATCCGCCGGGCATGTGAGCAGCCCAGAAAATACCCCCAACATACATCACCTCCGAGTCTGGTATAGCACAGTAAAGTGCAACGCAGTACAGCTAACCCCCACTAAAGACCGCCCGAGACGAGTTCAAAGCCGTTACCGATATAATCAAGCATCACGCCGCGTACAAACTCTCAAAACAATTCAAGAAAGAAATTGATTAATTGAAGCACATCTTCCCCCCCCCCACCGTAGTGTTGGAGGAGGTTACTGGAGGGTATCCTCATGATCGTTAGGGCATTAGGGTTTGGTCCAAGCATAGCTTGGCAGTCATGTATTTCCCATCTTTACATAGCTTCTTTCGTATCATAGCCATCATAGTAAAGATGGATCATCTCTCTCCACACACACCTCCATCCCTACGCGTAGCCAGCCGGAGGAAAACACAGCAGAACCTTATTCCCCTAGAAGCATGCCGGGATCGAGGTATGTACTCTACAGTGCCGCATCCGGAACCCGAGTCCAAAGCAATTTCATGTATGCAGGCCGGCACGGCATTGTGCATACCGGACGGGAAAGCATGGGGGCTTTCTTTCTCTTTATCCTCGAGCGCTCTACGGTATTCAAGTAAATTATATTGATGGGCACGGTACAGTACTATATACTAGTACAATGGACCATCCATCACACACAGTCCTGACTGACCGTGCCGTACTTCCAGTATTTGTAACCCAGGTAAAAGTATATTTCCGGAACGCCCGACGTCTCGCGGTCACTTTACGCAACCGGCAAGAGCAGTCGTCCACGTATCATACCGGTAATACTGGGATTTTGTACCATAGTGCTTGTACCGTGCTCGTACTATCGCATCGCACCACCCCCTAGCACAATACAGTACCGTACAGTACTGTTCAGTGCGGTGCAGTGCAGTGCGGTAGTCTCCATTAAGCGCTCTATCTATCCTATAGTACGGTACCATATCATACTCAACCAACCAGGATGAACCCGTCCAGGAATGCCAAGATACGATAATTACAACGAACCCAAAGAGCAAACATCTTTCACAGAATTCCAGGAACAGAGAGGAAGGAGGACTACTCGTACGGCGCGGTTGAAGAGGTCGCGTGATCGGTAATGAACCAACTTAATGGCTTGAAACACTTCAATTTCGATAAACCAACGGGCGGGGGTCATTGTACTCAGTACTAGTTACAGTACGGTAGCCGTGTCTAGCATAGAGTACGGTACCGGTATCTGAAAACTGGACAAGGTCTTTTTATCGTTGTCTGTTCCCTTCCGGTTGGCATGTTGGAGGCAATACCGGTAGCTGTGCTTCCGGATAGAGTTACTTTTTCGCCGGATACGGCACAGGTTCTTGCGGTTTTCGAAAGTATGATATACGAGTACGGGGCTTGGCTTGGCGTGTATCCTCCAACGATTCAGGGAAGAGCCAACGGAAAGAAAAAGAAAAATGCGAGGCAAATCCCTGAAGAGCACGAGTGTGGAGGCTTTGACAAAAAAAATTCACCCGTTCCCCGCCAGAGATATTAGGCACACAAGACAGTACATGTACTGTACCGGCACAGGAAACCGTGCCGTTGCCTGCACGACACTATGGTACTAGTACAGTATTTCCAAGCTATTCACGAGATTCCGGTCATCATATTCTTATACCTCCGAAAACCACAGTGCGCGTACAGTAAGCTACAGCCGCGTTCACAAAGCCCCCCCACACACCCCGGCCTTTGGAAACGCTTCGATAACCCTTTACTTTCTTATTATTCAGTAAAACAAATTGTGGCAAAAGTTTACAATATCCCGGGAGGAATATCCGAAAACAGTTACCTAAGAGGTTCCCGCCCTTCTCCCTTTGTTAAGCAGGTATAGCTCTTGGGGTACAAGGAAGGGTATGAGAGCTTTACGAACGCGGCCTAATACAAGCCTCAACTCGACCAAACCATAAACCATACCGGTACACACGTTCACCAAACCATGCCGCGCGTATCACGCCTCCAATCCCTACGCGGGAAATCTTTGATTCCTCCCCCCATATCCCTCCCACTCACAAAAACCGCCACGCAAACACCCGTATCCACATACCGTATCCGACTCCCCAATCGGATCAATCATTCCCGATCACTCGGGCAGGTCTCATTCTAGCCAGGCCATCCCCCGAAAAAGCCCGGCCGGTGGGCCTGGCTGCTTGCAAACATGTATGGTGCAGCTACTAGAAGGATGAAAGAAAGAGAATGACAAACCCAATACCAAACCATGCAATAATGGCCAAACACCGCTCAGACGGACTGCCGGCAACAAGGATGGGCAGGAGGGAGTGATAAAGCTATCACAGAGCAATATTGAGAATTTATCATCTTGTCATTGATCGGGGCCGCAAATACAAGAACGCCCTAAAGCCATACAAAGTAAGCCAGTGGAAGGTCCCGTGGATGGAATAAACTAGTAACGCTGAAAGGAAAAGGGGGGGGACATTCAAAGAAAAAAGTAAGCAAATTGGACATAAACCCAGACTCGGATCCTTCTTTGAAGTCATCTAGGCTAGTATGCAGCCGTGGTCTCTGAGGTATACCGCTGCCACTACACGGAGCTACGCAAGATCAAGTGGAATCGTAATTGATGGACCACAGGCGGAGGAAAATTCATCTAGAGAGATGGAAGGGTGAGATGAGGGGTCAGGTGGTGTAGAACATGTCTCCTACGCCCAAGATTGACATATTAGTAAAGCAATCAGGGACAGGAGTGAAGAAAATACAAGCTAACACAGTGGCCGAAGAAAATGGGGCGTCCTCACGATCAGTTTCACGAGGTTGAGAAGCCAGAAGTGGGCTTAAGCTACGTAGGATGGATGGTGGACCTGATAGATCACTACCAGCATTAAAGGAAACGATCGTAGATGCAGACGATCAATTGGATAGTTTGAGAACCGATTTCGATCAATTATTAATCCTAGTATCGCTGATCCAGCATGTTACTAGCAGTGACCGAAGCGCAAGAGAAAGTTGAACTTCCGGAAGTACGAGGTGTGTGGAGGATTGTTGTGAATCCATTGCCTGATAGCCAGTTTTGGCAGGATCAGGAACGAGTGATGGTTCAAGACCATTAAAACTGTAAAGAGGTTAATATCTCGCACAAAATCTAGTGTTGCAGCCAACCTCCCGGCACCTTTCTGCCCCTAGCAAATACAGTCTTCCAGTTCCGTAGGCCCGGGCTATCATCCACATAGTGACAGCAAAGGTCCTGCGAGAGAGAGTGCGGTTCAAGAGGGAAATTTGGGGGAGAAAAGTTTGTCGGGTTCATTGGGTAACCCGGATTGGGCATTCCCGAACCCAAAGAAGACCCCAAGTTAGCCTATCGGATGGCTTGTCAGAAGCACAGCTCGTACTGCTCCTCTTGAACATTCTTGGCAGGGCCTAGCCGCGTCTGCCAGAAGACGAGAACTGGACCCTCCCTGGCCTGAGTCCATAGCAGAGAAGAATTCTGGATTGTTTGCCATACCAGGAGCTACACGAGGCAGTGAAGGTTAGATGTGCGGCCTTCACCGAACCCGCATAACCGCCGATGAAATAACAGAATTCCAGTCAACAGGATCAGCTGGACTTCACTACCGGGATATACAGTAGATGGCAGCAAACCGGGAGCATCCGAAATGCGCCCCTGAATACCAGCTCGCGTGATAATTGAGGAAGGCCATGATGCAAGACACTCCGCACTCATGGATGTTTGAAGGCATCACAACCTGTAGTGCTTTATCAGACGAGGACCCATGGACTCTGCCAGGGCCAGCTACCCATAAACAAAGGTGAAAACATGTGAAGTAGTTTGTTCACCAAAAGGAATCTTATTGGAGGGATGTCGTAAGCTTTCCCGGGCATGTGCAAAGTCTTCGAGATCCACGTCATGACAGCGGGCCATCGTTGTTGTAAATTTTTTTGAAGACATGACAGCGGTAACCAAGCATCAAGCCGTTTGAGGCGGGTTGAGGGGGAGGGACTGTCGATGGCTCAAAGTGAGCGGTAGGTGATGTGTCGGGGTTGTGCTGGCTACGTGTGTAGTGGATGGTGAGATTGCAGGGTTGGTCGATTGTTGGTCAAGGAGACGCTGGCTCGATACGGTAGACTACCCCACACCAGGGGCTTCACTCGTGGAATGCATGAACCCGCTGTTTCTTGGCATCTAGCGCAACTAGAGAAACATTCACAGCAAATTCGCTACCATTGGCCGGCATTGCAGGTGTTTTTTGCTCGCGATGGCAGTCAATCCTTTTTCACAAAAGAATCCACTACATCAACCTTTCAGAGCATTACTGTGATAAAAGCTATATTTGACACCATAACAAGGCAAGAAGAGAAAGAGAACACTGGTGCCGCCATTCAAATCAGGAAATATCTCCCTTGGCGTATCGCCAATACCGGTAAATATACCACCAGTACGGAAATTCCTCTTGTACGTGTTGGTGCATAGAGAAAACTCATGCAACTAGTGTAAGCTTTTATAACATATCTCTCTATACACGAGCATGACATGATACTGTGCCGTATGTCCCTCCCAGGCCCGAACAATTCCGCCCTCGATCTCCTCAGCAACGCCCAATTCTGCCACACCCACCCCCCCCCCCCGCCCTCTTCACCCTTCCCCCCTCTCCCCCTCTTCCTCTCTTCCACGTACCCCAAACCCTTCCCATCCCGGCACTATCCCACGCCCCATCACTCCCCACCACTAAAACGTGGCTCTTACATGTTTCCAGTCGCACATACGGCGCGTGTATGCGCTTCGCTAGAAACGAGACTTCCGGGGACGCCCTCCCATATTGTAGCAATGGCTTCGACAAGGCACCAGTCTGTAGCCAGCTTGCTGCGCGCGTTCAATAGAGGCCTACAGTGATGGTCACCGAGCACTTCGGTAGTGTTGATTCCCCCGATTCCGGGAGTACCGGATTCGTGTGACATATGGCCTCCGGCGTCTTCAACCCGGTGGACTACGGTACTGGGAGGGGATGAACTGCGATTGCGCCATCATACCACCTTTGATGACCTTGCCCTTGGCAACAGAGCCCTCAGCAGCCCTCTCTACAATTGTACTCGTACTCCTGATGGCAGCCTCGTAGTTGCCTTTTCCGATTTTCCTTGATGAGGAGATTATTTCTTGGACGTTCTCCCGCGCGTGTGCAGCAATGTGGGCGGTGCCACTATGGAGCTTCCAGAACCTTCCGGGGGAGGAAGCGAGGGGGGCAACAGGGTGGCACACTGCCCGTCTTCCGTCATTAGCACCGAAAGAAGAAGTAAGAAAAACAGATCCTGTGCGCGGAGAACATAAGTGCAAGTACCGGTACCGGTACCGGTACTGTGCAGAGGAATGTTCCAATGAGACGATCAAGTACCGCAGCCTTCTTCCTTCTTCCCGGTGGGGGCCGGCAGCCTTATTCCTGCGCCCTGTTTCGTTCGATTACCAGCAAGTAATCCAGCCGATCATTTCAATCCTAGTAGCAGCGACAAGTATCATAATATTGAAAGCACAGCAAGGTTTTTCCTCACCCCCGCAATGCCATAATCTACATGTACTAACCTTGCTGTGCCCGAGTTCGCACTATCCCCGTATTCTCTCATCTTCCATCCGCTAGTTCCGTCCATTTCTTTGTTCTCGCACTCGCACCCTTGAACTTTCGCCCCACCAGGCGATACCAACCCCTCCCCCCCCTGGCACTTGACAAGTCCCATCTTTCACAAAGCGGCGACTTCGTTACGGGGTCCAGACGGATCGAGGTCTTAAGTGATGCTGTATATGGTAGTCTATCCGCCATCGTGCCTATCCAGGGCACGGTTTCTCTTGGTGAGCTAAGTAACTTGGATGGGATGTTTTAGCAGAATACGGTACTCGTACGAGTACTTACTGTACAGCACAAGTAAACGGGAGTCCTGGCAGATCACCCGGATACGCGAGTACCGGTACCGGTAGAACCCACAATCACCACACCGTACGGCCCGGGCCACAGCACAAGCACCGCACGGGCGGCAACCACAGAAACAAGCGAAAAATTGAGGCGCGCAGGTGGGAGAGCGGAGGTTTGATCACTGTGCTCTGCCAGTATATGAATCACTGTACTAGTACGGTACTGTACGTACAGCAGTCGAACACCTTATCGTTTCGTGCACGAACAGTTGGGCAAGTACGGCACTCGCACAGCATCATACCGCTGCTCGCTTTAGAACCCAAAAGAGCACGATCAACCCATAAATAGACCACCAATCCGCACTCCGATGACGAAGATCATCCCTCTCGCCTCTCCACCTTTACAAATATTCAAACTCGACATAGTCTACCGATAACCCCTTCTCCCCACACCGCAAGAAATTCATCGATAAACCAATTGCCGGTGATTAATTAACAAGGACCAATCAATTATGGATGAAATACTCAAGTGTGATACAGTCCGGTACTTCAACCAATCCCTCACCGCCGATCCACTGAAAAGCATGTTACGGTACAGTACAGCACCCCCCTCTCCATGAATACCGGTAGCGTGCCATACCTAGCAAAAAAAGGATGGGGTACGGTCGTTGAACACAGCGGCGGGCGGGCGGGCAGCCAGCCAGGCAGACAGATAGCACTGATCGCTTCGCCCATCCAAGCGAATCAGCGCGGAACGTCGCGGCTCACGGCAAGCGGGTCAATCTAGGGTGATGTGAAATTAACCCAGACGGGTGGCTGGAGGAGGATGATCGGGGATTCCGTTGTTTCGTTTCCCAGCACCGACATAGCGGTACTCTTTGGTTGGTACCGGTACCTGCACAGTAGGATAGCGGCAGTTGGTTGGACGAGAAAGAGTACCTGTACCGTACAATACCGTACTGTACGCGTACATGTTGTGGCGAAGCCAGCCGGATTGTGTCAAATGCCCAATGCTCTTATCATGCCAAGGTTGAAACTGCGCGTGCAGATACAATAATCGAGTACGGCACTCTACCGCAAGTCAACAGGCAACAGGCAACAGGCAACGAGAACGATGCGGTGTCGCGAAACAGACAAATGATTTGACTTATCCGCTGCGTATTTCTGCCGTGCCAAGTTACCAGAATAGAACAGAATAGCATCCGAATCGAGTAGCGTACAGTACCGTGTCAGCGTCATCGCAAAAGCGCGGCGCTCGCAACTTTCCGGTAGTGCCGCACCAGTAGCGATCCCTTTCCCGCCCGCCCCACCTGGATGCGCGACGAACAAAGAACCTTCCATCCGTCGTTCCACGCATGTGCTAAATAAAGAAACACGTGAGCACCGGGTATCACTCGAGATACTGAAACGGCTAGCTGAGAGTGAACAAGGACTCGAGTGAGCGACGATGAACAAGTCTAGTGTTGTGTTCTCACAGGGAGGTTTGTCTGAGAGGTATAGAGGACTTTTGTTTCAAGGTGGATGAAACGGGGTGGTTTTTGAGCGTTCGAGGTTGTTCGTGAAGGCTATAAGAGCTCCTGTACTCGTCGAGAAAGGGTTCCTCGATGCAATTGATCGATAACAGTGCGAGGATAGATTTCTGCACATTTACACACATAGAGAGCGTTGCTTCGCTTCGCTTTTTTATTCTTACTTTGTACTCTACTTCACTTACTGCATAAAAACGATGCATACCCTTTCCGCCCTCCTCCTCCTCCTCCCCCTCGCCTCGGCGCACATAAACCTAAAGTACCCCGCGCCCCTCAACCACCCCGAAAATCCCAACACGAACGCTGGCACCGCAGACTTCACCTACAATTCTCCCATCACCGCCGCGCAATTCCCGTGCAAAGGCTACCACAAGCTCCTTGGCAGACCGGCCGGAAAGTCGGTTGCCACATGGGCGGCCGGATCGACGCAGAACTTCACGCTCAGCGGCACGGCGGTGCACGGTGGGGGGAGCTGTCAGGCCTCCATCAGCGAAGATGGGGGCAAGACGTTCCGCGTCATTAGGAGTTATGTGGGTGGGTGTCCGGTGGTTGGAAAGTCCTTTGAATTTGTGGTGCCGAAGGAGGCGAAGAGTGGGGATGTGCTTTTCGCTTGGTTGGTTTTCTCCCCCCACGTGTGCTTTTTTGATATGGCTTTTTGCTGACTTGGACTGCGCGCGCGATACAGGACTTGGTTCAATAACGTTGGCAACAGAGAAATGTACATGAACTGTGCGGCCGTCACCATCTCCGATGGCGGGAGCAAGGGACTCTCGCACCTCCCCGAGATATTCCAGGCAAATCTGGGTAGCGGGTGTGAGACGGTGCCGAGCAAGGACTTGCTGTTCCCTGTCCCTGGGAATGACGTCGCCACTGTGAACACGGCGGCAACTGCGCCGGTGGGGGCGTGTGGGCCGATGGCTCCAGCGGGAGCCAATTCTTCGGCCTCCGTCCCTCCGGCTTCATCCACCTCCTCTGCACCTCCGGCTGCGGTTCCTACCCCTACCTCCCTCACCCCTGTCCCCTCCCCCACAACCGTCGCAACGCCAGCCGGATGCATGTGTTTCTGCGCCGGTCCCGGCGGCTACACAGCCAACATCCTACCCATCTCCGCCGTCGACAATATCGCCGAGAAGACGCCGGCTGCCCTCATCATAGACCGTCTTCCTACCGCTACTGCTGACTATGCCTCCTTTCTCTCCTCGGTGCCCACCTCTTCCTCCAACTCTACCACTTCCGCCCCCACAGCGGTCGCCTCTACAGCTACAAAATCGTCGACGGGTAAGCCGGAGGGCACAGCAACGATAATCAAGATTTCCAGGAGCGGAGGAGCGAGTGCCACGAAGACGTCGCTACATGTTGACAAAGCGCCGACGGGGGTGGCGAATAGGTTCCGGAGGTGGTAAAATTAGATAGATACCCGTCGACTTGTAGAGATACCATGGTACAGTTCTTAGATTGCATTTCAAAAAAGTTCTTTTTTTCTTTTTCTTTTTCTTTTCTTTTCTCGCTTAGATTTTTTTCTTTTTTTTCTTTTTGCTTTTAGGAGGAGCAAGGAGGTTCGGCAACGACACTCTTCCCTTGACTCTTTCTTACTCTTTTGCTGTCATTTCCGCCTCTCATTCTTTCTTATTCCTCGTGTCTCGATTTCCTTTCTTTTCCTCGGTTCATTCACTCATTTACTCACCCCAGTTCACTCCTTCCCTCCTATTCCATACTTAACGTTCACTGCTATATCCACACTCCTTACCCAACACTCATTTATTCCAACCATTCACTTTCACTCATTCCACTTCTTCATTTCGGTATAACTTGCACAACGCGGACCGTACTTGCATTCCCTCCTTTTTTTTTTTTCCCCTTGCTTTCCCTCTTTGCTTTCTTTCTTTCTTTCTTCTTTTCGTCACGACTTGTAGACTACCGGTGGTCTATCTAGTCCCCTCCTCCCCTTTTCATTCATCCCGTCATGTCAATAACCATTCTCCTTTTCAGCGGGCTCCTTCTATTTATAACCATTCATCACTAGTAATTAATTAATAAATTGTAAATGTTCATGCTCATGATCAATCGATCCCTTTTGCGATACAATACTTGTACGAGTACCGTACACAGTGCTTATTCTCCACCCATTCTCCACCCCCCCCCCCGGATTGCTGTGGCTTGCTTCGTTCGCAATTTACCCCTCGTGATTGGCGTTCTTGGATCGGACTGGACCAGGTTAGTCTACTGCACCGGTATGTTCCCGGCCTCGTGAGTGTTGGATGGTTTCAGTATGATATGGTACTCGTACAGTTGGTAAGGATTCTTGTTTTCATGGATGGTTTGGCGAGTGAGATATCTTACGCTATCGTGCTGTAAGCAAGCGTACGGGTGCTATAAGGCACTGCACACCAGGCGGGTATGTGGGCAGGCGTAATACGGCACTGGTACTCGTACAATATAATACAGTATGATACAGTACGGTACGAGCACATCTATGGTACCGTATTCTACCCAGGATCTGTACTGCACTGTACCGTACCGTACCCGTACAATACGCGCCGTAATGTGCGAGCACAGTGGCGGTATGATAGTACAGTACTGTACGAGTACTAGGAGCAGGAACGCATCTGAAAAAGAAGGTGAAATCACCTGCCCCGCCGCCACCAGCACCTCCAGCAGCATTGTCATGACACGCTACGGTATGTCCTGTGTCATACCTGTAGAGTACACTACATTACACTACACCACCGTACTCGCTCCATTACCGCTCACTTCCTGCACTGCACCGTACAACTGCACTCGTATCGCAGAATGCCGCGATGGTACCGCTACTGTACAGCACTGCACGTAAGATACGGTACTGTACTTGTACCACGTCCTGCACTAGTACTGTACAAACAATATACGGATATTCCCACCAACACGTGAAAACCAACCCCGCACTCCACTCCACTCCACTCCACTCCGCACCCCACTCCGCACCCCCGACCGACTGAGAAAATGCTGCACAATCACGCACCCTCGCCTCCGGGAAAGAAAAATAACAATAAAGGAACCCCGGGAGCTTTTTTTTTTCTTTTTTCCCCGCATGATATCCCAGGTTTCCCTCGAGCGGCCGGAGTCAGTTCCGATTCGAGTGAGGAAGTGTGAAGTCGGGTTTGAGCCCCCCCCTCCTCCCCCACCTAGTGTGGTTGGGACTTTTTTTTTTTTTTTTTGACTTGTGGGAAAACCGGGGCTTTGGCGCTGTTCTGGGTGGGGATTGTGGTGGGGTGGGAGAGGAGGCAAGTTTTTTTCTTCTTTTTTTTTTTTCCTGTGTCTGTTGTGTGTCGCCAGAGTATTGTATGATACGAGTACCGGGACTGTACCGTATCAGAATCGTTATTATTATTATTATTATTATTATTACTATTATGATACTATTATTGTTTTTCAATGGAATCGTGATTCCACAGGGCTTGAACTGTGATAAGTCTCCCTTCCCTCCCCTTACTTGCATGTACTCGTACTACGGTGGGTATGATAGTGCACTCCTTGATCGGGCGACACGGGTGGGCAGAGATCGTTGATGCCCCAAGAGATAAATAAGATCACGGAGGACAGTCACTCACTTTTACTCACTCACAAGCCTGTGTAACGTGAGCGCGTGCGAGTACAAGTACCGGTAAACGAAATGAGAGCTTGCTTCTTTCTTATCCTCCTTCCCACCCCTCCCCACCCAATTCCGTGGATATGGCACCCAGTACTAGTACAAGTACGGAACCGTGCTACCTGCTCGAGTAGGCTATACTCGAGTGCCTGTACCGAACTGGACCGGAATGTCTCTCTTTTGTCAATGTTTTCCCTCTCCTTCCCTGCACCCTTTCGCTTCGATTGCAATGTAGCAGGGGGGGGGGGGAGGGGTTCAGTACCGGCAGCCCGCCCGGGCGCGCGTGATGGGTGGATGGACTTACGAGTACCAGTAGATCAAAGGGTAGAAAAAATAAAAATGGCTCACCTTCTTAATGGTAGTGATGGGTAGTATCGGTGAGTAAGCCGTGGTTGGGATGGAATCTGGGAAAACTTGAAAGTTCGCTGCGGCAAAGAGGTGGAAAGCAAGGGGGAGAGAAAGCGAAGGAGAGGAAGAGGGAGAGGAAGAGAAAGAGAAAGAGGGCTCGAGCGGAGGAGGGGCAGGTGGGGTGGTTCGCTATCATACCGATATTTTGGTCGGATGATGGCGATCATGATACTCTAGCGCGGCGATGTATCCAGGAAGTGGACGGGATCTTGAGGCCAAGTCGGGGGTTGGAGCTGTTGCAAGCAACTTGCGAGGGAACGGCAGAGCACGGCGGCACTACTCGTACAATACTACGGTAGTGCGGGTATGCTCGAGTACCGTATCTTGGACAGGAATTGGCTGCTTGATGCGATTGGGTTTTATGTGCTTCACCTAGTGGTTGCGTAGTCTACTAATACTAGCACTCTACAGAGATTGTGCTCGAGCACCCTTGAACAATCGGGGGAATCAGCAAAAGTAAAATGGGGTGATTGCTTGATGGGGAATTTGGTTCGGTCGATGCATGACATACCAGTGTTCCTTGTCGGGACCTTGTTGAATTATCTTGAAACTGTTGGAATGAGGAGGAGGGATGGCCTTCATCGCCTGTTCCTTCTCGTGGTATGATATTATAGCAGAGCGGAGGAGTATGATACTCGAGTGATTATCATACAGCGCCGTATGCTGACAGGGCAACACCCGTGCTGCTCGTGTATACTGCGACCAGAGTTTTACCAACAAACTTTCCCACCCCAATACCAGACGTAATGTGATGAATTAGGTTATGATGCAAGGGCACAATTACGATTGGAGCAAATTTTGGGGATTTGGCAAAAAAACAAAAAGGAGCCGTCAGTCATGAGGCCAAAAGAAGGGCGGTGCGATCTCCATTTCATCCACTCACGATACCGGTGCGCTACTCGTCCATTCCCAGCGATCCCGTTCGACGGTCCAGGAATCCTAAAAAAGGATTCCCCAGCAATCCGGTCGCCTCCCACACCGCCATCCCAGGAACACCCAAGCCCTATTACCCAAAGGGGAAAGGTCTCTCAGCAGCGCTTGTCCTGACCCGGTGCCCTGCGTCATGTACTCAGAGTCGCTCGCACTCGAACCGAATGGCCGGGCCGCTGGGACCTGCAGGGATCAGGGAAGGGGATGACTTTTGGGGAAGATCGGAGTCTGGCCGTGTTTACGCCGGAGTGGGAAAGGGGACGGATGATGGCGATGCTGATGGTGATGGTGATGGTGATGATGAGGGGGGAAGGGAAGCGAGGAGGAATGGGGGAATGAGAGAATAGCTGGACCTGCGTCCGTCGTGCCATGTTACAGGTATAGTGGGCACCTGTCACGCTTTGCAGGCTCAGCTGTTTTTGGAAGTCCATTCTTGGGGGCGGTGTCCAGGGTGTGGAGTGAATGGATGAATGGATCAATGGTTGGAGGGGCGGACGGGCAGAGACGGGCCTTGACAGAAAGTCGTTGGATGTAATATCGTACAAGTAACATCATGCTCGTGTCCGCTTGTTTGAGGACGGTAGGCTTTTCCCGTGGCGCGCTCGTGTGGACAGGATGGCTGTATGGCTTGTCTGGGGCTTATCACCGTGCCCCATTGTGACTGTGATGGAGATGGGTAGAGTGCGATACGGGTAATTTAAGGTGGAGGGTTGGCTTTTTATTTATTTTTTGTTTTTCCCTTCTTGGCCTGTTGCCATTCTGTCTGGGGGAAGGGCCTTCTCTACAGTACTCGAGTACAGTACCGTACGATACTTTACTGGGTCGTGTTCGAACGGGGATCGCTTTTTTATCGTGGCTCCTTCCACCCTATCTTTGTGGTCGATATTAATATATTGGGCGGTGATGGGGAGGATGGGACGAACGTGGTAATTCGATCGCCGCTCGAGGATGAGATTAGGGGAGAAATGGGATGGTTGGTTGTAAGCTCTGCTTTGGGCTTGCTTGCTTAGCTGAGGGCAGGGGAGCAGGGAGAATCTACTCGAGTACTCGCGGCGGATGCTCTCGTTGCCCCCGGCCCAGCCTGCTGCTGCCTGCCGGGAACAGAGTCGATCCCGACCACTTGCAACCTCTTCCCTGAACTCGCCCGACGACCTCAAACCTTGCGCCTTTCGTCATTACCGTACTGTACACACACATACAGTACACACACCCGTCCACACACACACACCACACCGAAAAATTCAACACTCATTTCCCTCCTCCTCCCCTTTCGGTGTGCGAGTAGAGTACTCATCCCGCGACCCAATCTGGTGTGATCGTTCCTTCACTTTCCTTGTCTTCTTATTCTTCTTCTCTCCTCTCTTCTCGCATCCCCAACGCCGTCCGCTACGTCGGGTTCACTCCTTGATACTCCTGCGAGTACCTTTGCTGCGTCTCTCTCTTTCTCTGTGCGAACGGCGAGGTGTGTGTGTGTGTGTGTGTGTGCGTGTGTGTGCGTGTGCCTCTGTGTGGTGTCAGAACTTCCAGAGCCTCACGTCAGAAAAAAATATCCACATCAAAACAAACCCAAATACTAACTGATCGCCCCCCCCCCCCCCAATCCCCTCCCCTTCCTGATCACAACAGTTGGCCCTTTTTCTTACAACACCTACCTGCTTCTTGCATACCCTTTTTCCCTTGCTCCGTTTGCCCGGTTTCGTCGGCTACAATTCGTCAAGGGCTCTCTACTCGTACGTGGCACCGAACAAGGCTATTGCCGCAATTACGTGCATTGATCTGATCTGAAGAACGAGGCAATTCGCAGCCAGAGGGTGGTTTCTTTCCTTTTTCTCTTCTTTTCGTTGGCCTCCACCTGCCTCTCATATACTAAGCCGGGAGCCGCCTGTGCCAGTCCCATTCATGACCATTCCACCTCTCGCGTAAACAATCCGGAGTAAATTTTTAGATCCCTCCTGGTCATTCGTTCTGCCAGGGAAGGGATTGGGAGTGAGGGCACAAGAGGGAGGGATCTGGAATTTATCGGCAGGCATTATGGCGGCTTCCTCACCACGTCCCCAGTTATTGGCCTCGGTGCCTTCGACTGAATCGTCACCGCCTCCTTCCCCGGTTCCGCTGGACGCTTCTGCTTCGACACGGCAGTCCAGTAGTGCCCAATTTAATCCCCATCATAGACACCAATTTCTACCTCTACCTTCTCATCAACCCCTTGCCGCATCAACGTCCGATCATCCTACTATACCCACCACCCTCCCCGGCCAGTCAGCTCGGCCACGTCTTCCTGGTCGACAGGAGACCCCACCGTCTCCTCCCAATTCAGTTCTACTTGATCAGTCCCCAACCTCTCCATCTCAGCCTACACCTGCGGAACCTATTGCAGAGTATCCCTCCTCGCATCAGTCAATCACCGGAACGGGTGCAGAGGGCTCGGGAGTTGCTGGGCATCAAACGCCACCCCCGTCACTGAAGGACAGGCTCGCCCGGGCCTTCAAGGGCCACAAGCGTGGGGAATCCGATGTCAGCATGTCCACAAACTTCAATCCTAGAGACGGTGCTTCAACATCGAATCACCGTCATAATAATTCCGGCTCGACCGCCGTCACCTCTACCACCGCCACAGCTCAAAATATCGGAGATAACAACCCCATTCTTCAGACTTATAAAGCCAAGACTGACCTGGGCTTTTCCCCGACAAAACCCGACTTTTACTCGCGCCAGTGGGCCTCACCGATTCGTCCCAATAGCCAGAATCACTACACTTACGGTCATGGGGGCACAAAGCGGAGGGTTATGAATGGGGGAGAAGTTCGTGTCGAGATCCTGCCGCACCCGAGTGTCATCGTGGAGAGAAGTGCTCATGAGGAGGAGGAGGAGGAGGAGAAACCCAGTTTGTTTGAGGAGTACAAGGAACAGGGGAGCGGTGATGCTCAGAAGAGTCATGGCGTCAATCATGTGAGATATGCTCAGCATGAAGACGTATACAATATCGAGACACCGAATCCCCCTCGCCATGGCGGCCCACGTTCACAGAGCGACCTCGACAATTACCTTCCACCCTTGAATCATAGTCCGGCAACTATGGGCGACTCTTCTCCACGCAGCCGAACGGCATCCAGTCTTGAGACGGACCTCTCTGGCGACAGCGATTCTTCGGGAGATAGCCGGGAGCGTAGGTTTGTCGAAGAATCAACCGCTTCTTTTGGGTTTGAAAACTTCCACATGGGGTCTGAGGGTGAGAATTACTTTGCCGGGCTGCCGAGTCCCAATCCCGACAGCGATTCTGCACGCACGGGTCTCTACGGCTCGAGCGGTATGGCGAGTAGTGGGGTTTTGGCTTCCGTGAGCCAGGGAGATCTCGGCACGCAGGCAAGGAGTAATTCATCGCTCGGGGCCTATACCGCGAGTAAGAGTAGTAGTGGTGCTGTGGGTAGACCTGGATTGAGCAGTTCTCACCTTCTGGCGCTCCAAAGAGGGACCCAAGTACCCAGCTCAGGAAGTAGCCCCATGGAGGGTGCTCTTGCCAAAGAACTCAAGAGGCTGAGTAAGATTTCGGCGGGAAGTGGCGTTAGTGGTGTGGCTATTGTTGTCACTTCGGATGAAGCTACTTCCGGCTCTAGCGAAGATTCTAACGATGACGCCGACGATCAGAGGTGGACCAGAGAGGAGAAGGGTAAGGGAAGGGCTCCTCGTTCCGTCGATAGCGGTAATGGGGGTATGGCTGAACCCGGTGGAAGCGACGCACGTCTTGGAAATCGCGGGGAACACTATCGTTCGGGGAGTGGAATCAGCAGAGTTAGCGGGTGGTCATTGGGAGATCAGAGTGGCGGAACAGGTAGCGGCAGTGACGGAGGAGATGATGATTCAAGGGAACTGCTTGGGGCTGTTGACCGGACAAAGAAGCGGAAGCTGAGGTCTCAGGTGCCGCCTAAGGGAGTGTTGGTGCACGAAGGAGATGAGAGATACGACTTGTGAGTTCCCCTTCCTTCGAGAAGTTGTACACGATGGATTGGAGGCTGTTCGCTAACTGCCAAAAGCGTCTATCGTATGCGCCGTACTCCGGATGAGACACCCATCCTGGTTCCACAGTATACCTTCTCGTCCGAATCCTCTTTCCCCAATCGCAACGCACTTACCTTGCCGATACCCGCCAAGATCTCGTCCCCTAACCTTCGCGGTGCGGATCACATCCCTCTCGCTACACGCTACGGGAGCTCTCCCATTACTAAGCCGGAAGGAGCTGTTGTCCGATCCCCCGATCTGGACGATTCCTACTATGGCGGTATGATACCGGGCGACCGGGCCGATGAATCTCCTGCTCGCTCTGCGAGATACTCCGGATCTCACGGGTCCATCACTCAATCTATGAGCGACAATCAGATGGGGGAACTGGTACATCCCGCCCATAGGCAGGCTTCACGTGCTTCTCAGCGTGGGGGGAAGAATAGAGGTGTGGTTTCTATGGGAAGTCTGGAGGGGATCACGGGGATTGGTTTGAGGCCGATGCCCTCCCCGGGGCTTTCTGGAGGCAGATTTGTCGGTAGTAGCCTGGCTGATACCAGTGATATGGGCCATCCACTCGAAGATGCTACCGCTAAGAGCGGCATCAATCCGAAGAGAGTCCGCATGAGCGCTAACCTCGATGAAATTGCTCCTGCCCCTGAACATCGCTTTGAGCGCGAGCCTGAAGTTCAGAAAAAGCGAAAGAGCTACCGTCTTCCCGCTCTTGGCTCACGCCCCATGAGACCGAAGAGCTTGCGCAGGAGCATGACTCCGCATCTTTATGCTCCTAGGCCACTTGGCGATTCCTGGAAAGATCTTGCTGATATTGAGAGCTTGCCTGATAACGAGCAAACTCTCGAATATAGAGAGAGGGAAAAGAGGGCTGGGAGACTCCTCCTGGGGTTTTGCATGCTTTTCCCTCCTTTGCTCTTGGTGGTTGCTTGGGGGGGATTCGATGTTACGGTCGAAAGTTGGACTTCTGGTCGGGTTAAAGGTGTCGGGAGGGTGGAGAAGAGAATTGCGGCGTGGGTCGGTGGTGCCTTTGCAGTCTGTGTGGTCGCTGGTATTATTGCTGGTGCGGTGGTGATTTCGATTTAGCTTTCACTTTTCCTTTCTCATCACTGGGCGGTTTCCATTGGATTTGGGTGGGTGGTGCATTTGCCATTGTTTCATTCTTATACATTCTAGGGAGCTCTTTAGGGCGTCGGTAATCTTTTTTTCCTTCTTCTTTCTCTTTCCTGGTTCCGGTGATTTTATACCCGTGGTGCGATTGCATTATCATATCATAGCTCTTTCTTTTTTCCCGCTCGTACTCGGAGTCATTTAGATGGCTACCTTTATTTTTTATGCTCCCTTAACCATGATATTATCGCCCTTCATTTCTTGTATTATTATTATACCCCATATACCCCCCTCCCTACAAATTTGCTCCATGTTATCGCTGGAGGAAATTATATTAATATTGGCACGATACCTCCCGTGAATGGCAGACAGGGAAGGGTGGTTCGGGGTCATGCTTGGTGGCGCAAAGCTTTGGGGTTTAAACTGTATCATTATTCATATTCCTTTTTTTTTTTCATCTGCTTTCCATCCTTCTTGTATCATTATTTTACGGGAGAGACATGATACCCAGGCCTTTTTCCTTTCTCTTTGTCATGTTGGGGGGACGGGTTGATTGGTGGGAAGGGAGTTTCTGCTCGGGGGGCGACATCTTGACAATTTAGTAGTTTTGAGTGATGGTGTAGATAACAGGGGGTTGGAAGGGCGAGTTGACGAGTCGGGAGGGGGGGGGGACGGTATGGGGTGTGCGAGTTAGGTCAAATGAAAACTATGAAAAAAAAGGATTTTCGATACCGGTATGATAATTGCTAATTTCTTGTACTCGGCTTTGGTGCTAGTTGGTGGGGAGGGATTCTTTGTATCATACTGGTCCTGCTTGCACTGTACGAGTACTCGTACTGTACACTGCCGTTAGGGCTGAATTGTAGCTCTAGTATATCTCGGCGCTCGCTGGCTCGGTCCAGGAATACCACGTGGGGCGGATCATTTACAGCATCTCACATCAGGGATCCGACGGGAGCGGGTGCTCGTGGGTTGAGCATCTCTCGTTCATTCGGGAGGTGCCCCGGTAAGTGCTGTGCTGTGCTGTGCTGTGCGCTACCGGTATACTGGACGTGCCGGGTAATGTAGGATTCGGTAGGCGATGGTACGTTCCACCTTTTTACCTTGTTTCCCATACGGGGACCATCCATACCGGACCGATGTACGATAGGCGGTGTGAAAGAGTTACTTTGGCATTTTTATGCTCCCCGACTTGGGTGTCGTTATGTGCAAGGGGTTGAAGGGCAATGGGGGGGAAGTCGTTGTCGGGTCCTGTGCAGCAACCGCATGTTCCACTCGTCACTGTATCGTACAATTGAAATTCACCTTACGTAACCAGCACTAGCCACAGCAAAACAGAAAAGAGGAGGAAGGAGCAGAACAACAGGCTTCCCAAGTAGGACTCCCATGACTAAGCCCCACCGCGCACTTTCGTCCCGCCCCAGCCCCATCGCGTTTCTGCGACAACGCAGCCAACCCTCTGCGACGCCATTTCCGGAGTACCCTTCGCTCTTCCTCCCTCCTCGACAACATCCTGCTCCATCCACCCACACTCTCGTTCTCCTCTCTCGCCATCTTGACCTCCTGTTTCCCGCTTCGTGCTTCATCTCCTCCTCCTCTCGCTTAAACCGAGCGGGCGTTGGGGTACGGCGAGCAAGGGAAATCCAGCGGGTTTTCGCGTTTGGTGTGATATTATTATTTTTTCCGTGAAAGAGAGAGAAGAAATCCCGGGGGGTGTGTGTCTGCGAAAAAAAAAGCGTGTCAACCGATCCTCCCTCTCCCACCACTCCACCTCCTCCCCCAAGCCTGACCGCAAACCACACAGCAACAAACTTGGCATAAGGCGGTGCGAGAGAGTAAGAGAGACGATATCCTTTTTCTTTTTTCCCCTTTTTTTTTTCCTTCTCTCTTCTGCCGTCCCTTCTTGAAAAAAAGGAGGGTATATATCCTTTATCGATATCCTTGATAATCAAATGTCTAAACGCCGATCAGAGAGCCAACTGACTAAAGACCAATTCGAAAAGATGAACTCGAATGGTTTCAGCTTCTCGACGAATCGCGCGGGGAATGGGGCCGGGGGTGGTCCGGATGACGTTGCTGATCCTTCCATGATGGCAGATAGAAATACTCTTTCTCAGCGAAGGTAAGCTTTTTTCCCCTCCTTTTCTTCTCTTCTCCCTAGACATTCTCTTCCCCTCCTCATTTTCCTTCCTTTCGCCTTTATCCCCCCCCCCCCCCTCTTAGATCCACGGGTTTGCCCTCCCTTATTGTATCGCTTGATGGCGATGTTGATGAGTATCTGTGTGGATTAGGATAGCACCCCTGAAACGGGGCCGTGGCGGTGCCAGACAAGGGACCAGGACTGGAGCTGACAATATTCCGAATCTTTTTTCCGGGGTGGCCGGAGGTGTGACATTCGGCGCCCCTAACGGAACAGCGCAACAACAACCACAGCAGTCTTTCGGTGGGTTTGGGTTTGGAGCGGCAAGCAATAATAATGCTGCGTCTACCGGGTTTGGCGGGAGTTCTACTGGAGGATCCTTCGAATTTGGGGCGAGCAATAATAATGGGCAACAAGAGCAACCAAAGACAAATCCCTTTGCATCGCTTGGGGCAAGTAGCAATGGGAATATGTTCCAGGCAGCGACCCAGCCTCAAGCCACATCTTTATTCGGCGGTAATTCGTTTGGTTCCAACAACGGAGGTCAGACCCCTTCAGCAACCCCTAACCCGAGCTTTCTCTTTGGAGCTCCCAGCAACAGTTCTGCCCCTGCTCCTGCTACAACGGAGAGTTTTAACAAAACTCCCTCCTTTGCCTTTGGAAATACCAGTACACCGACAATGTTTGGCGGCGCAGGAGATAGCAATAATAATAGCAAGGCGTCCTTTACCTTTGGTACAAACAGCGGCGTAAGTGGAGCGACTTCTCCAGCTGCTACCCCTGCTGCTTTTGGCAACTTTGGTTCCCACGCCGGTGCTTCCTCGGCCCCTCTCTTTGGGGGAACCCCGAGCCCCGCCCCAGTTCATGAAAAGACGCCCGAGCCTGCTCCCGCTATCGCCGCTCCCCAACCAACCTTTTCCTTCGGTGCCGTGTCACCAGCCCCATCATCTACCGGAAATTCATTGTTTTCAAAGCCCTCAGAGCCGTTGTTTAAGCCCACCCCCTCTCCCGACCCGCTGTCTTCCAACAGTCTCTTCGGAGCACCTAAGCCAACGCCAAGTCCTGAGCCGTCGGCTGCAGGTCCTGGTATGTTTGGATCTCAAGCCACTACTTCTGCTGGATCCGGCGGTCTATTCAATACTTCTGCTACACCTGCCAAACCGCCTACGTTTTCTGGATTCGGTCCCCCCGCCCAGCCATCCACACCCAAGGCAGATGAGAAGCCGCCGACCTTCTCATGGGGTCCGCCGAAGGAAGAGCCGAAGAAAGCCGAAGAAGCTCCCAATGCTCCGTTTGGAGGGTTCGGTGCCCAGACGATTGACTCCCAGCAGGAGGCGCCCACTCCAAAGCCTTTCACTGGCTTTAGCCAAGAGCACGGGGAGCCAGCCAAGTCATTGTTCGGGTCCCCGGCTCCCTCGACAGTTGGATCCAGTCTTTTTGGGAAACCTACTGAGAACAAGCAAGACACTGCGGCATCTTCCACAACTAGTTTCTTCAACAAGTCGACTGAGGCTTCAACCCCCAGCTTCTTGGGCAAACCCACTGAGACTAAACAGGGTGCCCCGGCTGCTTCTTCCACCGGTTTCTTTGGTAAGTCAGCTGGTCCTTCATCACCCTCAACTTCCAGCTTTTTCGGTAAGCCGGCGGAAGCGAAGCAGGATACTCCTGTTGCCGAGCCGAAGAAAGCGCCTACTTTCGGGGGCTCTCCAATTACTTTCGGAAAGAATTCCGTTTCTACTCTCGGTGGATCTAGTATTTCTTCGCTGTCTCCGGCACCTGTCAGTCAGTTCGTCCCACCTGTTTCCCCAGCACTCAAGGCTGCTGAGCCGACTGTTTTCGGTGCTACCAACGCTCGAACACCGTCGCCTCCGCTGCCATCAGATGCCACCTCATGGGCGCCGGCGCAACTCACAGAGTATTATAATCTCTACGGACTTCGTTCTTTGAACTATAGGTTCCTGGAAACGCTCATGAAGGCTGATCAGTTTGGTGATTGGAGTTCTGCTTGCGAGATATATGTTAGGGAGGCCTCGCGCATCAAGGCTTGTCAGGAGAACGGAGAGAGGTATAAAGGGGCTTCCGGGGATGCCCCGGCCGGGGGTCATGCCAAGAGGCCGTTGACGGAGGGTGAGGATGGCGGAGGGAAGAGAAGGAAGGAAGAAGGTATTTAGCTTTTCTTTTCTTATTGCTCCCTATTATTATTTAGCTACGGCATTTCCCTTTTCCTATGTTCCGACAGAGAAGCACTTGAGATCATGATTGTTTTCCTATTTAAGGGTTGAGTTGGTGTGGGGAGTTTTCATGTCTGGAGTTTTCTTTTGATTGTTCGGTCGTTTGGTGCTGCGCCCCGGGTTAGGGGCCGGGATAATTGCTGGTTCTTGGTGACTTCTCTATAACCGTGGGAAGGACATGATGGACGAAGCGACGGGTTACAGCCTTCTAGTACCTGGTTATCACCATTGGCAACTAATCCAACCCAGCCCTGGCCCACTACCCATCCATCTTTGCACACTTCCCTATACAGTCTTGTCGAATGTTCAGCATGTTGCGACTGCCTTCATCATTCATCACTATCACCTGTTCCCCCTGAAATTCCAGCTCCCTTCCTTAACATCGGCGGAGTACCTTGTGTCAGCTCGCGCATTTTTTATTCTAACATCTTTTGCCTGATGCAACATAGACTCGACCAAGGCCTCGAATTTTTCGAATTCGGCCCTGGGTGGTGGTAATGCCGAAAAGAAGGGTCCGCAGAGCTTGCCGAGTGCGCCATCATTCGGATTCAAGCCACCTGCCCCGTCTACTATGAAGTCGAGCTCTTCCTCAGAACCCGCACCGCTTCCCACTGCACCCGTCTTTGGGTTTAAGCCTCCCGAAAAGGGGGATGATAGTTTATCGAACGGACGAAAGTTGGCGCCGGAGCCTGTACACGGGTTTAAGCCTCCCGGGGCACTTGCCGATAAGAGCGATAGGTCGAAGACTGGTATGTTATCTGGGAATTCCCACAATCTATTTTCGGGCTCTGGTTAACTTGGTTCTAGGCGGAAGCGTGTTTGATAGTCCCAACGCATCTCTTAATAACGGTGGCTTCGTGAATCCGTTCCCGAAAGCCAGTACCGATGACATTGTGGTTGAGGAGGATGACGGCGATGGTGGGGGTAGCAACAAGAAGGCCAGCAGTGGGGGAAGCCTTTTCGACCGAACATCGGAGCCACTCCCGGATAAGAAAGAGGCAGGATTCATTGGAAGTCCAAAAATTGGGTTGGGCGACTCATCCTTATTTGGCAAGAGGGTTGACGATGCTAAGCCGATTGGTCTTTTCGGCAATGTTAGTGGGTCCGCTTCCGCTTCTTCTACCCCGGCTGCAGGGTCACCTGCCGCAACGTCCTCTCTATTTGGCACCTCTACAACCAGCAAGCCAGAGGTTGGCTTTTCGTTTGGTGGCCTGAATAAGCCGACGGGCTCGACATCGGCCCCTGCTCTGGACTCCAGTCTTCTCCGGCCAACATCTGCCCTGTCGCGTAATAATAGTGGTGGGAACACAACAAGTGCTGTATCCACCCCCGGCGCAACGGACACTGACGCCTCGGAACCCAATGATAATGCCCATAATGCGAAGAACGATCTTGACCTCTCGGGCCCTGGCCCTGGAGAGGAGGACGAGGACTCGAAATACCAGATGAAAGCCCTTGTGTACGAGTCCACTAAGGAAGCTTTCAAGAAGACCGGCTCCGGTACTCTGCGTGTACTCAAGAACCGTGAAAACGGTAAAGCACGTGTTGTCGTCCGCACCGATATCGGGAAAGTCATCCTCAACGTCGGTCTCAACAAGGCACTTGGTTATGCTGTCGTAGACGACAAGAAGAAGAATAGCATACGGATCCCGGAATTTCTGCCCGGCGGTGCAACGAGAACTTGGCTAGTGAGAGTAAAACTAGCAGAAGATGCGGCAAGGTTGGCAATGGTTATGAATGAGGAGAAGTTATGAAGAATGCTCTACTGAGTTAAATCGGTGTTTCTTTTCTACTTTTCGTTTTTTTCTCCTTCTTTCTCTTTCCCCACTTTTCCTATAACTAAATTTCCGCCTCTTGAGCTCCTATTCCATTAAAATGTATTTCATCTTTTATATTTTATTTTTCCCGTCAAAAACTAACATGCATCCGGTCAATATTCTTTGTTTTTTTATTTTGTTTCTCTTTCTCCTTATCTTTACTGCAAATTCATCAACTGGATAAATGGGTTTTATCATACCGTAGGGTTTTTGTTTCATTATTTTTTCTGGGAAAAAAATTAATTTCTGCTTTTCTTTCTCTTGTCTTCTTTTATCCTCCACTGAGCCGTGCATGTCTGTCCGCCCGTCTGTCTCTGTGTGTGCGTGTGTATTTGTATATTAGTTAACCCCCCTTTTCTTCCCTTTGCTTTACATGTGTTGCTCCCGTGGCATAATCCGGAGTATCGTATCCTATCGTATCCTAACTGTATCTTTGGTTTGTTGTGGTAGTACATCTCTTTTTTTCTTTTTTTTTTCTTCACATTTTTTCACATGCTTGACGAGCGAGGAAATTGTGATAACAAAATTGGAAATTGTGAATTCTTCCCATGACATGTGAGTTTTAGGAGATTAAACGGTTTTTGGGGGTGAAGTTCTCATGTCGGTGGAACACTGAGGTGGGTTATGGGTGCTCTGCACGGAGGCTGGCCAGGGACCTGGCCCGAGTTGCCGTACCCACAACCGAGAACAAAGGGATTATGTCAATATGCCTTGGTTGTTAGCCGACATTCACATGTTCGTAGCTTGAGAAGCCTACCCGGGGGCGAGGATAAAAGGGAAGTTTTGGATGGTTACCGAATTTGAAAACTTCGCACCACTGTAGTTTTCTCTTCCCCCCTTCCTCCTCCTCTCTGCCCCTGACCTTTCTGACGAACAAAGTGCGTGCTTCCAATACTACATCGAACTGGACGTACCGTACCCAGTGAATAATCCCTTCCGCCCATCCGTCCATCCGTACAATACGAGCTAATAATAATGACACTCGCATCTGGTTTTCCTCTTGCCTCCCCCCTCCCAATCGACGTGCTAATCACCCTCATATCACGCTCATAGAAAACTTCCCCTCCTCTCCTGCCTTCGATCTAATCGCCGCCTCCCTCACCGCCCCCGCCGCCAAATCCGACGCGCTCAAAAATGGTAAAGCGATCTTCGCCTTCACCCTAACCAACAAGGCCAAAGAGACCGAGTCCTGGTACCTGGACCTCAAGACCACTGGCACTGTCGGCAAAGGGCTGGCACCCGAGGGCGCAAAGCCCGATGTTGTGCTGTTGCTCTCGGACGATGACTTTCAGGGATTGATTGATGGGAAGGCGGCGGCCCAGAAGCTGTTTATGTCGGGGAGGTTGAAGATTAAGGGGGATGTTATGAAGGCTACGAGGGCTGAGGGGGTGTTGAAGAGCGCTAGGGCGGGAGTGAAGTCCAAGTTGTAGGTATGATAAATGGGTGGAGTGGGGGGGACGAGGGGAGTTATGTGTACTTTTGGAGTTGGACAGGGGGTTATGTGACTTTGGCAGTGCGATTGGGCGGAATATAACTATTCTTTTTCTCCCATGGTGCACTGGTGTTTCTGAATACGATCAGAACGTCCTCAAGCCGAGCTGGATGCGACACCCCCGACAGGGAGGATTTACTGATGTTGGTATGGTAGACAAAACTTGATTATCCGGCTACAGCCCACCGGTACAGAAAAGTATCGTAAAAGGGTTTATCATGGGTGCTTCCCCCGCAAGATAATTGCACCCCCCTGCAGCTTCCAAAACCAGGACCCGCAAACTAGAGTATCCTAGGCTGGGGCGTCCCTCACCCCCCTTCCCCCCGCTCAAAAAGATGCACAGGCCCACGCTCCAAGCCACCAACGAGTAAGCGCGAGCATCGCAATCCTCCTGTTATCATACCCTTGCAACGAATAATCGAGCTCCCGGTTAGTGACCAGTGCTAGTTACTCGAATAGTACCGATCAATCGCAACCCGCAGAACGCGAAGTCTACCGGCGGGCCGGTGCCAGCGGGTTTCAGTCTCGATGGCTGTTTTCCCGTCGCGGTTTCTGGAGCGCATGACTAGATGGAGGGGATGGCGGTGGGCAGTCGTTGAGCGGAATGCTTTTAACTTGGAAATGTGAATGTATTGTCTGGTTTGGGTCGTGGGAGGGCGGGAATAGACAGGTCTTGGAAGCGGGTGCCGGGGAGTGGGAGGGAAGAGAAGTGCAGAGGGAGGGGCAGGGGCGGAGGGGTTTCTCTGGCTGTGGGATTGGATCGGTTTGGTTTACATTGTCTTACTGCATCGTGTGAACAGTGTACAGTACTGTACAGACTTCTGCTGTGGTAAGAACTGGAAGTGGTGGTCATGAGTTGTCACTCGTAGATTGTGTGAATTTATGTTGTAAGGAATGATCGTTAGGCTTCCTGACTACCTCTGGATGGAATGGTGTGGACTGGGTGGAGTGGAATGTACTGAATGTTGTGAGATGGCTGGCAGAGATCGGGTGGTTGGAACGATTATGTAAGGCTACATTCTGTCACTCGCACGCTGTAAGAAGTTACTAGAACCCACTTTCTTTTTCTTTTTTTTTTGGATATGTTAGTTTGTTTATTTCTTTGGACTTTGTTTTTTGCTTCATTATATGACTGCCATCGGGAAGGAGGTTTGATGTTTCTACCACATGCACGGTTGTGGGTTTTTGTGCTAAACTTAGTAACGGGACGAAGGAAAGGAAATGTCTGGAAGCCGGATTGGTAATACGAGAACCTCCGAAGGAAGGAAGGAAGGATCTGAGAAGACCTCGGAGGAGAAGAGGACATATGAGAGATTTGGGCGGACTGTGGGTGGTGAGTAGTATCATACCAGCAAGGGGGGGAAATAATACCATAGTTGAATATGTCATGGTCGTTTTTGAAGTTGAGATGAACGGAGAAGGGATGACAAAAGAACTTTGAATAGTGGCTATCATTAAAGTGAGTGGTGAGGAAACTACTAAGGGAGTGTTTGCCAGGTGTGATTGTGATTTCAAATCATGGGGTGTCTGACAAGCCAACCGCAAATCCTGATTTGGAAATATTATTTGACTGGGGGTTTGAAAGTGTGATTTGGACAGGATATATTTAGTGTTTAAATAGATATCAAATGTTTGGTGCAGGGCAAATTTTTTTTGTTTTCTGGGGGTTGGAAAAATAAATGAATGATATATTATTAAAAGGGAAAGATAGAAAAGTAACAATCAGAGAAGTGAATTGAAATAAAATCGAAATCGAAATCAAACCGCAGGGTGTTTTGGAAGGAAGGACATGATTTCAAATCGTGATTTGAGAAAAATGTGATCTGAAATCACAAAATCACGATTTGAAATCACAATCGTGTTAGCCAAACACCCCCTAGGAGAAACTGGATGGAAGGAAACTGGACCATTTGCCGACAGACCGGAGGTGACGTGGTCCGCACAGTTTGTTGAAAAAGGAAGAAAGAGAAGAGAAAAGCGCTTGATACACTAAATGGAAGGTTATTTTTTTCCTCCTCTATATATATTTGGTTTGACGGGAGTCAACTGAAATAGATTACCGCAATGTCTCCCTGATTATGTTTCGGAGAGCGTTTCCTTTCCCACCTGAGTGTGGATCTGGGTGTATGAGTACGGGTACCTGCACCTTCCCACGCGGGTGGAGCAGCATAACTTACCCACCGGACCCAGATACGGGGCGCAAAAGGAATGGCAAGGAAACTAGCGACCTCAGAGTACTTTTACAACGTAATGAGATGTATTATGTAGGCTCGAGTGCTCGTGCAGGGTTCTCGGCCACGCCCGGTTTTCGTCCACCCTAGTGCCTACACCACACAATGTGATCATTAATTTACAAATTCTTTATGCTTATTCGTGTTTAATATATTGTTCTGTTGAGTGCTATAACCAACTTAATTCATATCAAACTGGTTATAAAATTAATATGTATAGCTGGACTGTGTATCGATCGAAGCTATATAAGAACTCAATTATATAGCTTAACCATTCTCATTATCAATGGATTTCTCTTTATGAAGGCTAGTAGTACCCACTTTTCACAAACTGGTTCAATGTCTCCATATATTATGAGAATGAATGGTACTTGTACCATTTCTGAAGTCTAGAAATGTATCACTGATCTGACTGGAGGAGCGCTGGTCAGACGACAAGAGCAGGAAGTAGGTTGTGCACAACTCTCGATTTTAAGTCATAGTTGTTTAGTTTGATTACTTGATAATGGGAAAGTAGCATGTTGTAGGCATTGTGGAGTTGATTTTTGAGCAGTGTAAGGTAGCAGGTGGTGGTTGCCACGGTAGCTGAAAGCCTCATACTCGAGCCTACTACTACGAGTATGTCTTCACTATTACGAATCTGACTTCCTCAATAAGTATGGGGGGATAACAGTAGCCTGATGCTGCACCGGTGCAATAGGGCTGATTGGCAGGGGGTGGAGTTTATGATGCATAAAGTCCTTCCCAGTATTTGCCGATGGATTGGGTTCTTGGTACCATTCGCAACAGTACGGTATTCGGTAATACTGACGGTGAGGGGAACCGACCATCATAGCTAGAGAATTGCAGTACAGCCGGTCCGGCAGGGGTTTTGTTCTGGGGTTCGGTGCCATCATGGGAGAAAGACGTTTATGTATTTTTTTCGGGGTGGAGGACTTGAGTTTCTGGCACCATTTTCCTATATAGCTCAAGTCTCGCTGTCAGGCTCAGAGGTCAATATCATGTTTAGGGAGCGGGGGAAGGGGGAGGGGCCTTTTTGGCCTGGGGCTGAATACCGTACCTGTTGTGGTGCCCCTTAGGGTCACTGGGGAAGTCTGCAGGGCGGGCCGGTAAGGCAAGCCGGGGTCGTGGTCATTGAGATGTTGTATTGTGAGTAGGGAGCCTAGTGGCGTCGGTTTTACCCAGACAAACCGGGCATTTGGTACTACGGGCCATGGACTGGAGAGGAGGTAAACCGGAGCGGTGGTAAGCTAGCGTTAGGGGCTGTGTGTGGTCTGCAAGGTGGCTCGGTGGCTTAGAGACTTTATACCATATAATATGGGAATGGCATCAGATAGTATGGAGGATCTTGTCAGCTGAAAGCATCTGACAAAAGAATACTTGAACCCCCAACAACTTCACTTTTCTCTTCGCAACATTAATTCCTGGACTGTGTGTTTCGAGAACCGGGTGTGAATTTAAGTCATGAGCTAGGCGGCCTTGTGAGGCACTGTGCTGAACACTTGGGGACCGTAGTAGGAATAGAGGGCCTAAACGGATGAGGCGGGACTCCTGAGGATTCCTTCTTATTGGGGTTCGTGACGGGTTTGTTCACTGCTGCTTTCAGTTTGGGAATGGTACAGCCGGTAGGTATTTGGTGTGTTGGGGGTGGGGGAGCCTCCAGGCCATGACCAGTAGGGTATACTGGTATACCAGAATGGTGGTGTACCATCTCGTGGTATCCTTAGCCCGGAGCCGATAGCGTCAGGCCCGGGTAAGTCATTGTCTACTCGTATATAGTGGACTGTCGTACTCTGGGCTGCTCAGGATGCGTCACCTTCGATGGGGATGACGGCTAGGAATCGGTGGCGGGTAGTTTTTGTCACCCTACTTTGGTGGTTCTGTTCACGAACCCGTCTTCGAGATAGGCTTGCCCCTCCCGCTTCTTGGTCCCTAATTTTGCGTCCTGCCCTCACCGGCGTCTGGAGGTGCTCATTTGCTACCCATCACTAGTCCCCACAACCCACTGCCGGACTGCTAGGAATGATGGTAGATGCGAAGAGTACGAACTTCGGCGGTAAAAGAAACGGAAGCCGCCTCGACACCCCACTTCTCCACTCCTAGTATCATGCTCACGCTACGAGTTACGATGCCCGGACAGGCTCTATGCTATTAACTCCTTAGATTTGGGTTTTTATTAGGCTTGAAGGTCGGGGAAGAACAACTGGTATTCCCCCACGCGACCATCCGTCGTTATGTATGGGGTCTACTAGAGTGAAGCACTAAAGCCCGATGGACTAGTAAACCGCCCGCCTTGAACTGGTGCGCTGTCTTTGAGGCGGATGGGGTGGGCTTGCTTGTATAATACACTTTATTGTATTAGCAAGTGTGCCCCGAACTTGCCGTTAGGGAAATGCTACTTCGGTCTCGGGGGGGGAATTTCTCCCTTGAAAAAATGACAAAGTGGAAAATACAGGTCAGAGAAAAGAAAAAGCTCCCGTTTCTTGGTTCTCCAATTTCCTTGCGTTAGTAAATTGGAGTTCTCCGGAATGTAAGCCCAAGATCTACCACTTGTATATATTTCGCCAGACTAGACTGCATGGTCTAGCATGCCTGAATGCGCATTTTGTGAATGAACTTCCCATGAGTGTCATGAAAACTCGTTCTCCTCGTCTCAAGGGTCTTAAAACCCGCTGATCAAATGCACCGACAGCGGTCCGCCCATTCCAAGTATAAGTCAAGCGGAATATGTTGCATAAAAGCTGTTCACTGGCTTATACGGTCGATTCTTCATATCGACCTCTGATATCCTCCTGGTCAGAGGGTTATCAAGATCGGATAGTGGGTGGGATGG